TAGGTCTCTTTTACCTGCATCCTGTCTGTCGTGCTTCATTTGCTAGCCAGTGTGTCATAGAATTGTCTTTTGTCTTTACTAGCACTCTTCTTCACTTCTGTACTCAGTGCAGTGTACATTGAACTCAACTTCTCCTTCTCCTGTCTATCTTTCCTTTGACTCATATTCTCTTCAACCATTCTCCTCCCCTCTCTTCTATTAGCTTCCAGGTGGGTGTCCCTTGAGAGCCATTCCTTATCTCGACTTTTCTTTCCTTCTAGAACGGTTGTATACGCCTGATTGAACGTCACCTCCAGAGAGTTCCAGTGTTCTACCAGACAAGTTACCTCAGTGACGCCACTACGTGTATTTGACTTTGCTGTGATCCGATCTATGGTGAAGGTGTCCCTTGTAGTTTTGTCCTTCAGTTTCTGAATGTTGAACTTGAATTACGCTGGTCTATCTCCAGTTACTTTAGGGGATTTTAGCTTGACCTTGAACCCGATGGTGGTCTGATCCTACAACTGCTCGCTTTCTCGACTTTGTGTCCAGCAGACTGGCTGCGTCTCCGCTTCCTTGAGTAGCAGTCAGATGAAGTCTATCTGGTTTTCAGTGGGTCCGTCAGGCACTGATAACCAAATGACTGAATGCACAGAAGTCTGCAAAGAGTTATTGATTATCGCCCACTTCTCCGATAGCCTCTCGACCCATGATGAGTTCTGTTCCTGTATTATCTGCTCCCATTTCGGCTGGCGTTCATATCGTCCATGAGTATTTTGATGTCAGTATTTGGGACGTCGTCCATTACTGTTTGTGGTTTTCTGTGAACCTCTGGCTTCTCTTGTTTTGCGTTGTTTGTAGCACAGTGAGTAGCATTGGATGATTGTAATCTTCCTTCCTTTTGAATTGAATCTTGCTGTCATAATCCTGCGGGAGGCGACCGGTTCTCACTGAATCAGAGCTTTAACTGCTGTTGGTGACATCATGATAACTACTCATTGCCTCAGTGTGCTTGTGGTTGTTGTCTGGGTGACCAAACTGGAGTAGACTAGTGACTCTCCAGTTGACAATTTGGATAATCCACATCCGTTTCATCTGCTTTCGCAGATATCCAACACTTCTAGGCCATAATAGAAATGATTTGTAACTCAGGTGGATGATTTGATTGGGATAATGTCAAAATCTTAAGCAGAGGAAACACCAAATGTGCCAGGGAATTCCTAGAAGCCTGTTACTCAAATGAAAACGCAATGAATAAACAGGTCAATATAGATGAAATATACCAACTGACAAAAAGTAAATCAGGTGATCAGAAAGTGTAAAATCCCAATCAATAGAAAACGGTCAATACATATCTAAAGATGGTTACGGGGAGACTGATGAAGAAATTTAAATCATTTCACTTTATCCTAAATACTGCGCTGAAGATGTCGTCCAGAAAGACGATGAAAGCTCCGCAATTAAACCAAGCAGCTCAGAGAACACTATCAATTGCAAATTCTAGGCCATATCTTCGCATTTCGTTGGCCACTTGGGGAGCCATCCCAGTCTTGTATGTTGTACGGACATTCCACGTACCCATTCTTATTCTTGCTCTCATCGAGAGAAAACACAATGATTGGCTGACCGGCTTCCCGAAGGCTTTAACCAGCCCGCTGTCTCATTTCGCCTCTCTGATTCCAGCGAAGAATATGGTTGTTATTTGAATTTTTGTATTTTTAACGTATTTTTTAAGCGTTTAAGTTTGTCTGGCAGTTTGATAGCTTTTGTGGTGAAGTGTCGCTAGCCCTACGCGCAACCTTCCCTCTTTACATATGCTTGGAACCTGGTAGAAAACTAGTAGGCTATTTACATAGGCGATGTTTAAGCATGTGGTGATTTCAACTTGATATATTCCGTTCTTGAATCGACTAATTTTTCTTGCCTGTGTGTGATATGTTCCAGTCTTCCTTATATTCACCTGCACATATTGCTATTAGGTATCCTCAGAAATGAGGAAATCAATCATAGGCAATGCGTGTACTTGTACTGATAATATTGATTTAAAATAAGCATTCTTTAGTACGTATTTACCTTCAAGATAGTTATTGTTTGTTGATTTTGAGAATTTTGTTCGCGTTCAGAAATCGATGATTAGTGAGGATATTTACTGGGGTTCAGAAATAATGTCACTCATGTAAATATTTTTTCGCTTAACTTTTCGTGTATTAAATGCATTACTCTGCCTACCTACTTTCAGAGTTTTATTTTTTCACTGAATATTTTTTTTGCATTGCGTTTCCTGAGATGAATTTGCTCTCAATTCTTTTAAAATATCATAAGAGTATGCATTCAAAGACTGTTTTGGTGCTTGAGTTATTTAAGCTTTCTTATGTCAAGTGAAAATCATCCGTACGAATTTGATTGAACTCAAGGTAGGTATGATCTATGATGAACACAACATAGGGAGCCACTTAAAGCTAGGTACTAGTGGATAGTTTTACTACCTGGGTTTGGCAGTTTTCATTAGCGGAAGACTTGCAACGTTATTTTTACTGCTATTGGTTCGTGACGAAAGCTGCATTGGTCCATGTTGAATTCATCGATTCGGAATGGTAATACTGAATAAAAACATAAATTATGTAATGATTGTTGCATAAAAAGTATGAAATTCGATGAGCATATATGTAAGCATGATAGCTTTATAGTCCACTGCGAAAAAATGTAATTAGAATTATATCCAGGTTTTGAAGAACGTTTTCGACGGACTGTAGTTTCTCTCCATTCGCTCTTCACTGATCTGTAAACTTTGAGAGACATTCCGACGAAAACTGAAACAGTGATGTCATACTATGCCTATGGATGCTTTTAAAGACTGAGTTCAGAAATTACATACAAGATTGACTCTTCTCGCATATTCAGTTTTAGGATCATCAACTATCTACCATAATTCAAGTCAGTTGACTAATATATTCATATTTGCCTACTTATGAGTAGTCAGATGCAGAAACTACAAAAATGCGCTTTTCATTTTGACAATTGCACGTCAATGAAGAGCTTTTCATTTTTAACAAGCGGTTTTTTCATTCAACCAGTGCAACTTTCGCGCATGAAAGATAGGCGCTTCCTTAAAATATGCGTATTATTCATTTCTACATAAGATCTCAACAGCAGATCTCCATTTCACTTGGTTCTCTGCAGTCTTTTTAGATGGTCCTACGGTTGCCCCATAGGCTTTCATTTCCTCAACACATGGTCCTTCTGTGTCGCCTTCGGACACTTAACTTGTTATTTGCCATTCGGATTTCACTTTTGGGTCTGGCTCGTAACGTCATTTGACAATCTCCTCACAGCCTGTGTCCGGTCCATCTCCACATTCTTCTGCGTATTTGTTGGCTTATAGGTTGTTTGTTGGTTCGCGCTCACAGTTTTAATTGCTTATTCTTTCTAGCCGTACATTACGGAGCTAAAGCAGCTGCTGATGAATAAGGTGAAGCTTGATTGAAATGCTTTGGGTGACGCACCAAATCACTGAACCATAATGAAGAAGTGACTTTAATTTCTCGTTGAAAATTCGAACCTTGTTTCTTATACTGAGTTCAGTAGATATCCACACTGTGTTCAGAGTAATCAAGGTCTGCCTTTAAAGTGAGTGCAGAATTTTGGCACTGGTAGATTAGGGTTCCACTTCAGATAAGTGTATTTGATATAACAGGGATACATTTTTAAGAACTGAATGACATTTCGAGCACAATTTATTACTCATAATCAACAAGGTCTATCTTTTCCTGGCTTTGACATCTTCGTTGATGCTGCCTCTAGCTGAAACAATGCTGTGGAATAAGTGAAGGAGAGGATCTCGTTTAAATTTCTCCCTCGATGATTAGTGAACCTAGTGATTGGATGACTTCATCACCTCCATCCTGTCTGTGTTCATTTAAAATCCTCTCTTCGCTGCCTCTTCTGCCAATTTGTTACTTTTCGCCCGAAAATTTCTGAGTTTAAGGGACATGAGACATAAATCATCCAGGAAGTCCTGCTATTCTCGTATCTTTTCCATTATCCGAAGTATACTTGTTTCTTCCCTTCCCAGTGTCTGTCACATAACCAAGTCTATCGCCATCAGAAATATCATCGGTGGTAGGGGGAAGGCGTCGCCGAACTCATGTTTTCACTTCAAACGCTTCGCTGATCCACGCGTTGTGAATCACTTGGCACGTAACCTCATCACATATCTGTTGAATGAGACTTATAGATGTTTTGAAGCAGTTTTCAATTTACTTCACGGTTGATACTATCAAAAGCCATTTTACAGCGAATGAAACTTATGTAGACAGTTGATTGACATTGTATTCTGTGTTTGATAATGGTTTGCATCGTTGCGATTAAGTCTACATATGATTCGCATTCCCTGAATTCCTGACTAGAAGTGTATGACTCGAAGAATGTTGACTGAGCTGTTCTTAAAGTGAATCACAGTAGGCATTCATCGTGATATTTTATGTACACGAGGTACATCTCAACCACAGTTTACTTAGTTCCAACATGTTTTTGATGAAACCACTTGACAAGCTGAAAACTGCTGTTTTGAATCTTGCCACTTCTGAGAATTTCACTCGTAATTCAAATATGAGTTTGCTTCTAGCTGGTATTCAAATCACTTACATTCCTGTGTTTCTTCAATCACAAGTAGATTAGTTTAAATATCAAAAAATTATTTCAATTATTCATCTTTAGAATTAATTGTCAAAGTAAATTTACCCCTTTATATTCTCACACATGAAAAAGTTTGTTTGTTCGAATGAGGTATATAAAATCTTGCTGAATCAGATTTGACATTTACGCTCAATATCCTAAAGGTTTACAAAGGATTTAGCCTCTGAAAGTAAGGTAAAGAACTGCACCGTTTTGCTTGTTTAACAGTCATTCATCAAGCGTTTCTCAGTATGCGTTTTTGCTGCAGATTTATCTAATAGCATGAAATTTTTACCTATTCATATTATTAGGAGATTTTTTCCCACTATCTGAATGTGTTTATTTAGCAACCAGTGGAAACAAGAGAATGGGAGTCAGGATTATTTGAGTGCACAAATGATATGACCAGCTGTAAGTCCAGTATATTTGCAGTATTTGTTTAACTTTCATTTCAGAATTTGAAAATGACAGCTGATTGATTTCATTCTTTTCATATATATATATATATATATATATATATATATATATATATATATATATATATATATATATATATATATATATATATATATATATATATATATATGATTTTAACATGGCTCAACTCCCAAGTACATATTAGGTTTAGTGGCAATACCTGATGATATAGTTCTACCTGTGTAGCAGTACCGTAGCACTTAGCTGGATGATCATGTCTCCTATGACTGATGAATATATTTGGATTAAGGCTCTTATGACTAAACTGGTAATTAGTTAACGCACGGAGAATGATAAGTTTACGAGGCATACGGTGGAATTCATCGTTATGACAGTGTATCACCAGCCTAACTCCAGTTCATCAAAAAGTTAAAATACATGAAGGCAAACAACTGAGAGAGTTATGTAAAATGCAACATATCTCAGTTCAGTGGTTATTTTAGTACTTCGTACCGCAAAATGCTAAAGATGTTCCGAAGCCAAGCAGTGAGTTAGCAGCACGTCATCCACTAACAGTTTGATTTATGCGAATTACTTTTATCTTTATGTGTGCACACTAGAAGTTAGTTTGTATCTCACATTCAATAATACTAAACTTATCACACGAAAAAAACGTGCACGTATAAAATTTTGTTCCAAAAAGTTCATATCCTATTATTAAGATCCTACTCGTCTTTTATCCAATTATCTTTCTACTGGTGCTTCTTTGTCTCGCTCATTTGCCGTATTTCTTTACAATCACTGTCTTCTCTCAAAGTAGCATAGGAGCTTAACGCAATATACCACTATGTAAGTTCACAGATTCTGTTTCAAAAAGTAATAATCACTGCACCATAAACTCGGTTTATACATCAAGAGTAAAGTGACTTTGAGAAATTTTCGAAATTAAAACCCACGGGATCATGTAACAACAGACTTCGTCATATCCTGGTTTAGTTTTGGAAAAACACTTGTAGTACGTTGAAAACACAGTGGAGAAATAATTCAGTCCCTTATTCCAACACTCATTAGGTGTCTTTAGAAGTTAATCTTGGAAATTACACTTTTCTCAATCAGCACTAGCTGTGTCAGTATTAAATCATTAGCTTTGTAAATAAACATATTTGATATTCAGTAAGTGAACAGTTTGTCTAGAAGGTTAGTTTATTAACAATGTCAACAATGTTTATTTGGAGTTGTTTTGAGTGACTTTTTGTACTGTACAGAAAGATTGTCTTTGCACTGACACGTGAGTAATACCTGTAGTTTGTAATATTTTTGTGACACTGTTAGGTAGACTCATTGCTTACCATGGATTTATTTCTGTAGACAAATAAAACGTCAATCAATATTTTAAAAACTAATTAATCTAATAGGGTTTTGGTTCGTTTTCTGACAACCTAATATCTACTCTGGTTCTGTTCACCTTCCTTTTAAACTTTGTGACTTCTTCTTTGTTAGAAAAAGAAGTCCATTAAGGCTGACTGTCATCAGTTTTGAGGAAGTATTAGCCTCTTCAAGGCTGGAGATTGTTAAGCTCAATACTGTTTTTGCCGTCTGACTCCTAACTCCAAACAGTATTCAGTCAGTTGTTTCATATTTTGAGATAGCATCAATAAGTTGACTGATTGAAAGTTTGTCATGAAAACCTAGTCAATGACTTATCCATTTATTATCCATTTGAAATGTAAACTGATTATTATCGATCTTAGAAAGAGGAATATTTTTCATTTCCTCTACTTTTCATCCTATTTAAGTCGAATTTCCGAGGAATTAAGTAATCGGCCATATCTGGAGTCAAGTTATTAAAAAAACACTATTACTTTCATTCTTATACGAACTTTAAATAAACGTTTGATGAAGCGAAGAAATGTGTTAAAGATTATCTTATTGAACCGTTCTCCATAAGTATCATGTAACGTGTAAAGATTTTATTTGACTGTATACACGCACCTGTATGGATGAAGTTCATGTCAAACTTTGCTAGAAAGTTTGAAAGAAACAAGCAACAAATGTTAATAAATTAGGGCTGAATGAATTGATCAAATTTCAATAGAACCCTTAAGCTGAATACTCTATTTATACATATCACGAGAAAAACACAAGCAAATAGGTGACAGATAAATAAACTAAAGTAAATCGACCACAGCAAAACGAAAGGAGAAAATTTCATACAGGTAAAGTTCGGATAAAGAGGGACTGGAACAGCTATAAGAGATTGAAAATTAAGCTTATAGTGCAGTACAATTTTGTTGTGTTATAATGATAAACAATTAGTTATCAGAGAATGGTACAGACTAAAGATTGTCTTAATCGAGACAAAAATAATAATAAGAGATAGAATAAAATAGTAACAGGTATTAATTAATAGTCATTACCATAGTAGATTATAAGTTATCACTATTTTCTTCTGTACACAGCAACCGGCTTTACAGGCTGTAACATCGCTACTACCCGGATTCGCAATTATTATTATTATTATTGTTTCCTTAAATTCCTAGAGGAACATACGGCTTCAGCCGCATGTCTCCATTGCGTTCGGTTCCCCGTCAACGTTTTCATCTGGCTCCACGTCTGCCCACATGCTTTCATCTCCTCTTCAAATAAACTCCTCCATGTCATCCTTGGACGACCAGCTAGCCGCTTCCCATTCGGGTTCCACTCGACAGCCTGTCGTGTGATGTCACTTGATGACCAATCCACCTCCATTTCGTCCTGCATATTTGTTGCACAATTGCTTCCTGCTGGATTTGGTTCGCTCCCAGAGACCTTTGTTGCTGATCTTTTCTAGCCATGTGATCTTGAGTACTGAGCGAAGACAGATGTTGATGAAGGTGTGTTGTTTGCTCGAAGTTCTCTTCGTGACACGCCAAGTCTCTTATCCGTATGGTAGCAGTGACTTCATATTGGAGTTGAAAATCTGCATCTTGTTTTTCATTCTGAGTGCTGTTGATCTCCACACAGACTTGAGAAAAACGAAATCTTGCCTTGCTTTTTCGATCCTCCCTTTGATATAATCGTCAGTTTTGTCCACCTGTAGTTGAAACTATGCTTCCCAGGTCGGTAGGTGAAGGAGGTTGCTTCTTTCACTTTCCTCTCATTCATGCTGATTGTTGTCTGTTGTTGTTGCTACTGTTGCTATTTATTTATTTTTGGTAACAGCTTGATTCCACACTGTATTTTTGGTACAAGTATGGAATTTTCAGCGTGGATATCGGTAGCCCAAATTTCGCAGGCCGACCATAGATATCTGGTGTGCGCCGGTGTGGGCTCGAACCCCGGACCATGTGCATGGTCGTCGAGAGTCCTAACCATTGTGCCACCGACGCACACCAGGAATCTTCATCACCTCTGCTTTCTCTATGTTCACCTAGAGTCTCATCTTCGCTGGATGCTTCTTCTGCGAACTTGTTGCTTTTCACTTGCATACCTTCCAGTTTGTGGGAAATCAGAAAAATATCATCAGCGAAGTTCAGATACTCCAAGTCATGTAGGTTCATTTTAGGCCAGTTTCCTCGTTGCCTGCTGTCTGTTGCATTATTCAGTCTACCACAATCAGGAAAAACATTGGAGGTAGTAGTGGGAAGTCAGCCTTCTCTTACTTCCGTTTTCACTTCCAAAGATTTCGTGATTTTCTCGTTGTAGATTACGTGGAACGCAGCATTATCATACAACTGTTGGATGATCGATCTACGTTATCGAAGGCCTTTTGAGAGTCAGTGAAGATGAGATAGAGAGGTGACTCCCATTCCAAGCTCTGTTCAGTGATGATCCACAGTGTTGCGATTCGATCTATGCCTGACTTGTTTCTCCTGAATCCATCCTGTCCCGGTCGAAATTCTTTATTCATGGCATGTTGGATTCTCTCCAGGATGGTGAGGCTCAGTGTTTTGCTTGGGATAGGCATGAGCCTAATGCCGCAGCAGTTCTTGCATTGACTTAAGTCTCCCTTCTCTGGCCGTTTGAATAAGTGGCCTTTCTTCCAATCTGCAAGTTTCACAGTTTCATGTTTTTTCATCTGTTGACAATAGTGAATGGTAATTTGAAAGTGTCTACTTTTTGTCCGTAGTCTTCAAAATACTTTGTTCTCGAACCTTCTGGTGCCATTACTTAAGCTTTCTTCAACCGAAAGTACGGAAATGCTGTTGCCATGGATGACTGATCAGTCACATATCTTCCCATGTATTTCTCAGTAGTATATATATATATATATATATATATATATATATATATATATATGTAAAGTTTTCAGCTGAGGAGTCTAATTGAAATTTGATGAATTCATTAAGTCCTGCTTTGTTTTAAATTTGTCTTCGGAAATAAATGCTTCCAGTGTTTTTGATGGCCAACCCATCTATTTTCAAAACACTCTAAACACACTTTAACGGTCACCATTGTCAATCAGTTTACTGGAAAAAGCCATGATTGTTTAGTAAAGAGACGTTTAAAATTAAGAGTATCCAAACAGATTACCTACAGTTCACTGACTCAACCCCTACTGATGGATTGACACTTTCAATCCATAAGAAATGTCTCTCCATTATTTATTTGTTTTCATTAAATGTTTTCTTTTTCTGCTTAGGTGTTTTGTCACTTTTCTGCCCATGCGGATATTTATGTTACTTGTACTCGTACGCAAGTGAACCGTGCTGGTTACCATTTTTAGGAGCTGGTCCGGGTCCACTTAGAATGAGACAACGTCATAGGCACAATATCAATGCAAGTTATATGATTATCTTTATCATTTAAAACAATGCTTTCAGTGTTTTTGAGAAACTTCCTAAGCTCTAAAGGGTATTCTGGGAAGTAAATTCAGAAGATAATAAGTGTTTTACGGAAAACAAAATATTTTCTAAGCTTATAAGTTTTAAGCCTCTACAGCCTTTCCAAATTAGCCAGAAAATAACTGAATAAGTAGATGAGCACTGTAGATATCAGGTAGAGGATCTCAATTTTTTAAAAGTCATTCACTACGTGGTTGTTGGGCATCTTTATACTTCAAACCTCATTCATTTAGTTTCGTAAATCTGGTTAGGTAATAAAAGATGAATAGCCATGAATGCTAGTACCTGAACCCTAATCATCAACATGAGCTGCAGAGCAAGAAGTTTAAGATGATGCATATATATATATATATATATATATATATATTATAATGAAACTTGAAGGAGATTTAGGCAGTATCAAAGAAGACGGTTATTGTCCAGACGACTGCTGATATGTGTGTGTGTGCAGACGACTCAACCGCACCACTGAATTTAGCATCTCTTAGCCGAAAGAAGAAAGATATTAGTTTAGGGTGTTTTCGGAGACTGTCAGATATTTGTTTGAGTTCAGCCTAACGTGATTTGCCTAAAAGTAGAATCAGTATTACTGGCCTTAGACAACACAGTATAGGTCAAGACAAAAAGTGTTTTCGTATCCCATTTTTCTAATCCCAAATATTTAGAGTGTGAGGTGAGATATTTAACAGGTCATCCGAGAAAAATACCATATTTCTACAGTAATCCTTTCTGTTAGCAGTACGAATTCATTCTCAGAGTTCCATCGTAATGCAGACTGTTTTCACTACGAAATGGTTTTGGTTAGACCTCAATTACGCATTACTGCGTTACAAGCCACATTTATTTTGTGAGGGCTAATTAAACTACTTTTTGCGTCTGTGGTACAGTGGTTAGGACGCTCGCCGACCATGCACATGGTCCGGGGTTTGATCCCCGGCCGACGCACTCATTTACCTCGCTAAGCCAGAAATAATGCTGATAAAGAGGAAAGGTTGGGCATGTGGCTAGCAACCCCATCCTGTAAAAATAAACACTGCTACAGAAACTTCAAGCCACCAGCTTGAGGCCCTATGTTCCACTGCGAACGTGGAGGAGAAAAAAAATTAAACTACCTAACTGCCGAAGCTGAAGTCGGTAAAGCGGGACTCGAACCGGGAAACAATTGACTGACATTCAAGGACAATGCGCCATGTCTTCACTCACTAAGAGGGTAATTGCTTTCAGATTTACTATTATATGGCTAACATTTCTGACAGTGTGAAACTTATAGAAACAACCACTGCACTCAAAACAGCTCAGGGTAATGTAATGTGCAAGCTTCATCAAAGAGTCAAGGTATAAGTTGTTACGCGGAAAGGTCTCACAACTTCATGGGGATATTTCGTAATTTTGATTCTTCATTATCTGCGGAACCGAAAGCTACTTATTATTTCATCAGGAAATATGTGTCCATTGTTCACAAAAGCTCATTAATCCTAGGAGTTGACGCACTAATCAGTTGAGAAAGAATGATTCTTTGGCCAGCTTCCACTTCAATGACTGCAGTCACATATTCATAGTTGTTGTATAATAAATACTATAATGCTCATCAACCTAGATAGTTCTGTAACAGCGAATCACTTAAGTCAACTAGTCAAAACACTTTACTCTCCCATAAAGATGTATAGGAATACACAAATTTAAATATTCTTGGAATTCTTTTTAAAAGAAACATTTATGCTCTGATATAATTTGTGTAATACCGTTTGTCATATATCATAACCTAATTTGAAGTGCATTCTTATTGTGATAAGTGGATTAATCGAGTCCATCTCTCCAGGTAGTCAGTGTTAGAAGGGAAAACACCCAAATCTTAAAAGTTGGAAGCATGCACTGCTTCAATGTAAAGTTAGCTCTAAGGATATTGGCCAGAAGCAGAGCAACTCAACTAAACCATCCATCTCAAAGAAAACAACACCACCGATAGTCGATATTGTTTCTCCACGAAATGATCAGCTTAGAGTTAGCACACTCTGGTATTGTCATGGGGAGCTACTTCATTATGTTTTAAGTCAGTCTGCTGGCTGGATATGTCAAATACATGCACGTGAAATATAAAACATATAACTTTTATGTTCTGACAAGTAATAAAAACAGTTCTGTAATCAGAAGCGTTACTTTGTCAGTGTATTTCTAAGGAGTTTCATGCATCATCGGTATAAATTTAACTTTTTGTGTATATCTGATTTTCATTGTGTTTTTCCTCTTTTTCATTTTGTGAAACTGTTATACAGGGTTCAATGACAAATGATTTTGTACTATCTTGTCTTTGTACACAATGTGTCATGTGTCAGTTGAAAAGAGATATGGATTATGTTCTTCAAAATGGTGGGACGTGTAACCATACAGCGTCCTTCAGAAAACTTCTCAGTAAATGAACAGTTAAATAATTAACCCTCATAATTTGAATAAAATGTGACAGCATGCAAAGCAGCTCTACATATCTTCCTACGCATATATTACATACATTCACGTGTGCTGCACACATATAAAAATATAGGAATTGGTGTACAAACCTAACGTTCTTTTATAACATATTTCTCTTGTTATAAAAAGTCAAACAAAATATTGAAACTGTTATTTTGATAGTGGGAATGGTTTTCTCTACGTAATTAATATTAAATATTGGATAATAAAGCAATGAATTTTCAAAATAATATGTCGTTTTACGAATTGTTGTTCTCATATAACCTTTAGCAAGCTCAGAATTTCGTTAGTGCATACTCGAGTCTAGCGTCCTTCAGTATATGAAATGATTTTTGAAGTCGCTATTATTTGAAAACCCCAACAAAACGTAATTTAAAAGAAAACAATGAGGGAAAAATGGGGAAAGGAAATCTAATGGCACTATAATGGACAAGTGTGAATACAGTAGAAAGAATGATTTAGTGAAAAGTAGTGCACAGAATTTCAGTACAAAAGTAGTAGACCGGAGTGATCTAGATTAGCGGGGTAAAAACCTACCGAAATTCAGACTACTAGACCTTGATAATAAGATAATAAATCTAGGCAAAAATTCACTTATGTCACTGGATGAGGTTACGTACAACCATACAGTAGGATGGGACCATGTAACAGTCTTAAAATTGAACAGAAGGGAGGGAGAGATTGATTACTGAAACTGTAATTATTCAATCAACTTAGAATATATGGAGTCGTAATGATTCAACACACCTTCCCCTGACGTCTGAGAAATTCTACTTCTAACACGAAAAGATCAAGTTTCATATTTGTGTATTTACAGTTGATATGATTGTGAGCAATAAGGTTTTATTGGAACGTCATGCGTTAAGTAATACTGAGTGTTTACAACTTTATCGACTGACTTACCTTCCTTTCTTAACCTTATCTGTAATTGCAACACTATCAGTTGCGTAATTTCAGCAATGAAATGAAGACACCTATGATCCAAACCCTATCAGTTTAGGACGAACGAGGTTGTAGTCTTGTGATTCATTTGTAAAATTTACTGTCGAAAGTTTCATTGCGTTGTGAAACAATTTATGTGTTGCATGATGTTATCTCAGGTAAACTTATACCCACATAGCCACTTAAGTCTATATAAGCATTTAAATACTTGATATCCCGGTGTATTCTTCTTCTGGCCTCTTAAAATGCAAACTACACTGGGATGAATTTCCTTAAAGACTTTAATAATGCCAGTTCGACGGCAGTTACTAATCACTGAGAAAAAAGTGCAGTTTTACAACAATCTTTAACTGATTTCGTCCTACACTTCCTTAAAGCTTAATCATGAATCTGTATCTACCAACTTGCAATTTAAGGTAGCACAGTCGTGAAGTAATAGCTAGTCTGGAGAAATCTGGTATGTAAGATGATTTTGTGAAACGGTTAGCAGCAAATGTGAGGAATAATCATGTAAAATAACTAAAGCCTGGCAAACAAGGCTTGACTTTTCTGCTGATATTATAGCTACAGCCAAAGGCTGTATGAAAGTGACTGGCACTAAGGAAAATGTCGTGATAAGTCAATATTACAGACAAAATAAATGTATGCACTCACAGGAATTTTGATGAATTGAGCTCATAGTTATAAAGTTACAGCCAGAGCACGTTACCACTTAGTAACTAGGTCAAAATATAAAGATTCAAGCTATCAGGAGAAACTGAAATAGATTCAATAGATAAAGATGATAGTAGTATGCCATCTTGTGTTTTAGGAAATTCTTAACTTCTTTGAAACTTTATATTTATTTGTTAAAAATAATCAAGTCAGAAATTTCTTAATGAGTCAAATTAACCAAAAGCCACTCCTAATTGTTCCTCCTAGTGACTGTTATAGTTGTTACGAAGCTGCATTAACTAAGTCTTTCTGGTTAGTGCTGATTTTTCTAATGAGTTCACTTTCTTTTTATACTACCAGTTATGTTGCACAGAACGCTTTGTAACCAGTAACTGCGATACATTGGAGAATTTGGTCAAGCGCACTAACTTAGTAAAATTAAAAACTCGATTTTATAGAAATCCAATCCGTACACAGAAAATACACAATCACAACAGCAACGACCCAACACCACACAAAATACTTTCTATACAAGCATTATTTGAAAGAGTCGAATCCCACTGAAACACTCCTCCCTTGAAAACAGTAGAGGAGAAATGTCTCATAAATGAATTCCAAAATGACGGATATCCATGATGCTTCATCGGATGATGCTCAAACATATTTCAACCGACTAGTTCAAAATCATCTGATCACAGCACAAGGAAAATCGTCTTACTATGTGTGATGAACATCTGTGAAATTACGGAATGAAACCTTTCGGAATAGATGTAGCCCACAAAACCAAGAAAGTCACTTCAATTTATACTACTTCAATCGAAAGGCACAACGTCAGATGAAAACAAAACCAACATCCTCCACAAGATAAATTGCAGCTACTGTGAGATACATTACATTTGTCTTCTTTGTCTTCACATCCACCAATATAAACTAACTGTCAGAATACATGATAATTATTTCCTTATTCCAGCGCATGTAGGCAGACAACTATGGACACCAACCTGACTGGAAAAATGTACGAATCTTGGATAAAGGAAATACCATGGATGTCAGGGTGTTCCTAGAATTTTGGCAATCATATTAGTCTTCAATTAACACACACTGGTATACATTAGGCTCAGCAAGTAATGCATGTGGAAAAAAGGTCAAATATCGTGTTGACACAAAATGACTAATGTCAATACATAGGGTACAAGAGGATAAGGAAATTTCCAAAAATAAACAACAATTACGTTCAAGTTTACCAAGAGAGATGGCTTTTGCACTCACAATAATATTTGAAAGGTAACTTTATCTTGAAGTCAGAGCTGAAGATTTCGCCTACAAAAACAATGAAAGCTTTGCATCATCTATCTGAACCACAAAAGTGTTCTTCATTATTTCCAAACTAAAATTCGTATAAATACTGACGCAGTCAGGTCGCTGTTCAAAAACGAAATATGGCCTTTTTGCTTCAGTAGTTAGTTTCTTTAATCTTCCCTGAATAACTACCGAGAAATTAGGACTAAAAGCATGGTCATTTTGTGTAGAACTATTCAAATATTTGTTAAATAAAATACTTCAAAGGGAATACTGCACCTTCGAACTGTTGAAGAGCTTTTTGTAACTACATCTTCAAGTTTCCAATATGCATTTCTAAACTAGCTTTTAGTTTAAGGTCAAACTGTATAAAGAGATGGAGAAGACTTAAAGGCTGTAATAAGCCACAGTGAATATTTATTCAAACTACGGTAAAAGGAGAAAAAAATCAATACGACACGATTTCCCGTAGAATGTTTCTTTTCGGAAATATGTGACATTAATTTTAGAATTTCAATCTACCAATACTTCTACTCCACATAGATAGCTTATTAATTTTTCTGTTAAATATTCTTGTTGCAGAGTGTGCAGCAACATAAAAGTCATCTTACTAGATGACGATTTTTATGAGTTTGCGGGAAATTCAGATATTTAGCTGGATATACCACTTGTCTATTCTAGGGGGAAATGACACCTATGCTAGCTCTTTTTCTCTCTCCATTAAATCGAATGCAGTTAAATAAGGAATATGTGATCGTCAGGTTTTATGACTCTTTCGTTGATGCGTTTGTATATATATATCATCTGAAGTCAAGTGCATCCTATTTTTCACAATTTACAAAATACAAACACCAGGTAGCATTTACACATAGAACCATCAACAGTCATATTTATGAGTCTTAAGTGAAGAAAACTATTCAGCAAACTGCATATAATGTAAAATAAATGGAGAGAGTTAACTAACTGCACTTATGTCAATATTCAAGAAGTAAAAATACATAAACAAAACGACGTGAATTTACCCACACTGAAAACCCAGAAATCAAACAGACTTCATCTCAGTCTTAAGAAAGGAGAGAAAGTTTTCGACAGAAAATAGTTCAGATATAGGTTTCTGTCTGTCTGGATTCAACATAGAACTTGGCACCGAAGTGCAGCAGTTCGAGTTGCCACGTTCCAAATAGCACACAGAGGTAGACAAGAAGATGAGTGAAGAGAATCAATAGAGTTTGACAAGTATAAGAGTGAAACAGAATGGGTAATGGTAGAAAGGAATATGAAAGATTACAGAGACTGAATACATCTGCGCCATTGACAACGATTTTGAGCCATGTCACCTATTGTCTCCAGCCATTGATTCCTAGAGTCCCGAGGGCCCCAACCCGGGAGTCTGCATCTCCCTACCTGACTCAGTTTAACTGTCAAGGATTTCATGGATTGATGCCATGTTTTTGTTTGGCCACCACTGGCTCTTTTCCAACCTGAACCTATATCAGCTAGCAATGCCCGTCGGGGGAGGCGGTGGTTAGGCATGCGCAGCACGTGACCTAGCCATCTTAGTCTATGTAACTTTATAGCCTCGTCGATTGATTTTCCCTCTTTGCCCAACACTCTACGCCTAACGTCAACATTACTTACCTTATTAAACCACCTAACGTGAGACAGAGATCGCAGACATCTATGATCGAAAGCAGTCAACCTTTTCATGTCTTCAACGCGTATTGGCCATGTTTCAGAGCCATAGAGAAGGACGGAGCGAACTGATGAGCAGTACACACGTCCCTTGGTTGATAACCGGATGTCACGCCTACGCCAGAGATGGTGTAAGTCAGCGAAAGCAGCTCGAGCTTTTCGGATCCGTGCTGAGATTTCATCGCCAATCAGTCCGTTGGTGCTAATACAACTTCCCAAATAGGTGAAGTGGTCAACATGTTCTATCACTTCACTCCCTATCACTAAGTTAGGAGTTGACGTGTCCAGTCCTGTAGCAGCATCTTACATTTTGCAGGGGCGAATCGCATGCCAAACATACGAAGATTGCTGCTCAAGGTGTTCAGAAGACTCTGCATTTTGTCAGCATCCTCCCCTAACAGGACTATGTCATCTGCATATTCTAAGTCCATAAGACTATTCCCTGGTAACAAGTCGATTCCTAAGTCATTACGTTCAGTTAAGGATACTTCCATTAGCATATCTATGATGAAGTTAAACAGAAATGGGGAAAGTGGACATCCCTGTCGGACACCACTGGTTGTTACCAATTCAGATGACAATTCCCCATAAGCCCTTACACGACTACGTGAGTTTGAATAGAGTGCCTTGATTAGTGCAATGTACTTTCTTGGCACTCCCTTCACAGTCAGACATTGCCATAGTACCTTTCGATCCACGGAGTCGAAGGCCGCCTTCAAGTCAAGAAATATGACAATTGTTGGACGCCGAAAAGTGTGTCTATGTTCTAGAATCTGTCGAAGAGTGAAGATATGATCTATGCACCCTCTACCTGGTCTAAAGCCTGCTTGATTTTCCCTTGTCTGTTCCTCCCGAGTTCTGCTTAGTCTATGCATGATTACTGAGCCTAGGATTTTAGAGACTATGTTCGTTAGGCTGATCCCCCTATGATTATCACACGAGGACTTGTTTCCCTTCTTGAATATCGGTATAATAAGTGACTTACCCCAGTCTGATGGCACTGTCTCTGATTCCCAGACTTTGCCTAGTACCTCAGTTAATCTACAAACTAGTATGTCACCCCCATATTTAAACACCTCCGGAATAATTCCGTCGGGTCCTGCCGCTTTGCCTCGTTTCAAATTACTGATAGCTTTTGTAACCTCACTACAGACGGCGGACCAGTGTCTATATCCCATTCGGGTGTGTGGATGGCGGGGAGGTTCAGTGTGGCTGTAGGCAAGTTAAATTGTTGTTCAAAGTGTTCTTTCCAGCGTTCAAGGCGTCTATCCTGAGAGCTAATTAAGGAGCCATTTTTCTCAGAAATAGTCTCACTTATGAATTGCCTTCTCCCACCCGTTTCTGATGAGTCTAAAGAGTTGCCTAGTGTTGCCTATCGCCGATGCTTTTTCCATCTCTTTCGCCTTTGTCACCCACCACTGTTCACGGTCCTTGCGGAGACTTTTAGTAAGTTTCCTTTTGTGCAGCTTTCGCTCCTCATTGAATTCGGAGCTCGCCGGAATAAGTCTTCTAGCATCTATCAGTTCGGATGAGGCAGTCGAAATCCAGTGGTTTTTACTCACCTTTGGATTTACCTTATTCACAGCTTTTACAGCTGTATCTATGGCTGACTTTAGGGTGAGCACAGCTGTCGAACTCAGATATATGTTTAGCTAGTTCTTCCTCAAATAGGGATTTAGTTTCCTGATCGAGCTGGGGACGTGATGGTTTTACCGCCAGCTGTTTCCTACGTCCGTTCAGTCGTAAGCAAACCCGAGCGCGGACCAGTGCATGATCGGTATCTACACACGTGTTCCAGAAGGAGCGACAATCTCCTACCGACCCACGCCAACGATAGCTTATTGCTATGTGGTCTATTTGTGTCCAGCGTTGGTTTGATGATGGTTTAGATTACTATTTAGTGCAAGAAGACTTCAGGACCAAGTTGACAGATTTCGAAGAAGTTGTAGATAAACCATAATTCAAGTTTAGCACTCAAAAACTGAAGCCAGAATTTAAATGTAATAACTTCGCTTCAGTCATCAGGAAAAAGGGAAGGTATTAAACGATACACTGAGGAGACCAGTATGGAAGAGCACATGCACCCTCTGAAGGTGACGTGGAAGAAAATTCACCGAAACATCTTTTATTCAAGAAGAGGATGCGAGACAAGGAGATGGCTTCTTTTGACATTTATGTAGTGATACAGAAGAGGAGGACGGTGAAGCAAAAAATGTACCAGTTCAGATGAGAACAATCAAAGGAGAAGCTGAGTATAATCTAAAGGGCAATGGGCAAAACAGTAAAGAAGAGCTCTACGAGAGATGAAGAATGCCTTACAACAAACTAAAAAATCAAGCAGGACAAGATGGGAGTAAGAGAGAAATGTGGACACTATGTCAAATAACCAAGTGGCTATCTGTGAGGATATCACTACAGATGAATACAGTGGAAGATTCTGAAGGAAACCTTATTAAAAGGTGGTGGGACAAAGGGAATTGTCGACTGATCACTCCAAAAGACTACGGAATCGACCAACACCTCCATCTTGTCCAGGAATACCAGCAGTAAGTGGCAGAGAATTACTAGTGAACACTAATCCTCCGAAAAAACGCATGGCCTTGAAGGTCATAAAGTTACTGAGAGCTGGGACAAGTAAGAATTCCTTTGGAGTCACTGTAAACTCACCCAGTGACATAAGAGGACATGCTTGTGCTACTGCTGCAGAAGATGTAGAAGTAAGGAAATATACCTGACGATTTGTCTAACTTAGAAGTAGGAGTGGCCAAGATCTGTATGATGACTGTCAAGGAATTATGCTCCTGTTCAACCTAGGCAAAATATCACTCCGGTAGGATAATGTGATATCCTGAATGGAAAATGTCCATCAGAATAATACGGATTCCGGAACACCATGTCATCGGTGAATCACAATGCAGTACCATACATCATCCAACATAATTTATGATTGAAGTCAACACCTTGTCTGAACTTCACATGCTTTATAACATATTGTGGTGTGCGGTAACAGCAGCTGGTACTCTTAGGATTCCCATCGAATATCATTTGAAATAAGAAATACGTACCTACGTTATAGCTCTAAAAGTCGCTGACAAAGTACTTGATGTAATAGCCTGACCTGGTGTCACTTTAAGTGCGTTATCATTCACCCATGAAGCTGAAATTCATTGTTCCATGACTTTCAACTTCTATCAATGCACTGATAGTTTCAAATCCTCGTTAAAACTGTAAGGAAACTAGTGTTGAACAGAATATTTTTTATTATAATTGTAATGTTAGTTAATAATATATTAGTTGATCCTCACAGAAGTGAGATGTTTGAAATTATTTCATTCCAGTGGAAGGACCATAAAATCTGTCCATAAAACAAAACTGTGTATTGCAGAAATATTTATTGAGAAAATAAGGTACAGTGTTAAATTTTTCATTCCCTTGATTGATTGATGTTTAAATTCGTACACCATTAGCTTTTAGGTAGTCAATTTCTCGTTTAAGTTGACACATTACCAAACATGGACAAAAGCATGTGTCGCAGTAATCGTCAAACAGTGTACCCTGAAATATAGAATATGTAGCGTGTGATAGGGTTATTGATATATTTCTATGAAAATAGATTATTATGCATTATTCGATACGAAAAGTAAGATATTTTTTCAAACAAGTTATCTTTGAAAGCAAATAATGTTTGCCATTAATAAGAAAAAAATTATTACACACTACTACAAAATCAGTGAACGTTAGGATAGAAGTGTTGATATTTTCACTAATCTAAATTATGGTTAGATGTTTCCGATGTTACTAAGTTTAAATAAGCAAATGAAACTAAATGCTCAGATATACCACTGTGAATTTGTCAGACTATGTGTTTAATATATAACTAAAAAATTAACAAAAAAATTACCATACTTTAATGTTATGTTGAGTCCGAATTCTAACACGTAGCGGAGCTACGAATGAACCAACCACGGGTAACCAGCACGCTTCTCTTGCTGAGTCATACAGGTAACACAAAAAACAGGGTGGAAACAGTGTGGCCATCCAACCTTCAGAACAGTATAAAACAGAATTAACGCATAAAGCTCACAGCTATTATTTGGAAACATAAAATGCTCTACTCAAAATCAAAATTAATAATTTATTAGAGTGAACACACAAACTGGGAATCGATAGAATTTCTGTCTTTTAGAAAATAACTAAATTAGTTGACTTCTCTAAAAGCACCAGATGATCTCAGTTCGCAACCTATTTATATTATTAACCTCCTGGTTCATTATTGCGAGTATAGACGCCAAGATGGCCATCCGACCAACTTCTTGTGGAAAGCCATTTAAAACTTGACAAATTGGGTAATGAGACGTACTCAGATGACTAAGACCCTAATACACCCTTAGTAATGATAAAAATTGTGTTTAATGAAATTTCGCCTTATTATTTTGCTTCAGTAAATAAATGAGAACAGAAAATAGCAACCATTATTTATCACATCAGGTTTGTCCTAATGATATAAAAATATGAGTAACCATGGAATTACATCCCCGGGGAACATAAATTGAATTAAGCATCCCAAAATAATACGTAAACAGTAATTAGAGAAAACGTTTTGTTTAAAATTTTATAAAATATAATTAATGGAGACTTACATGACGGAACGTCATCAAGGCAGTTAAAAAGTCCACTGTTCCATTCCCTTCCTATATCATGCTGCTATACAACAGTAATGCACAGAAAATATTGAAGATAGTATGGAATCGATGATATGATCAAATGCCACTATTCGAAATATAATCAGGGGATACTAAGTAACAAATTAGTGTGGAAATTTGCACAAATGTGCGCATAAAAAAGACATGGAAATTGCAATAAACGGCTGCAGCAGAAACAGTTATTTGGTCAAGAGTATCATGGAAAAAGTCAATACATATGTCTTCACCAGTGTAAACAGCTTTCGGCACTATCAAAATACTTCCGCAACCCCTGATTGGTAGCATCCAAAACAAAACAACAGGTCGATCTTCAAACTCGTATATAACTCCTGCCATCGGTTAGCACCCTGACAGATCGAGATGATGTTTCATTCAGATTAATTTGTGACGCTTTTCCAACCTTGTTACATAGACTTCACTAGATATTACTGGTTGAGGGATAGTGGTGACACGGAGTGTTTGTTCAACATCCTAGACATTCCACTAGATGAAGATTCACAGCTTCACTTACTGCCTCCATATTACATAAGTTTATTTGATATAAAACACAGTGATACAGTAATACCAATAATGATCAACTACACTTCTTTGTTTATAATCAAGTAAATTCTAGGTATCACATAAACTTATCTACTATGAAATCATGATATTTGACAGTGACCATATTCTATTCGGATAACAATAATCACTGGCTGACTTCAGGATAGCCCCAAGGCTTTCATCCCCTCCTCACACGATCTCCTCCATGTCACCCACTCTGAAATCTGCCCCACGATGTCTGTTTAGCGTGTATCCGATCTATCTCCATTTCATTTGGCTTATTTGTTGGGCAATATGTTCTTGGTTGGTTTGTTACCACAGTTCCCTGCTACTTTCTTATCCCTTCTGATCAGTTGATCTTTATTTTCAAGCAAGAACGGTTCTTGATGGAAGTTCGAGTCCTGTTGTGAATGCTATTAGTGACTCGCCAAATCTCTGAACCATATAGAATCATGCACTACGTCACCATCATTTTCCGAAAAATCTGAGACTTGTTCTTTACGCTGACTTCAGATTACTGAAGGTGTGCATGGCTTTTTTGATCCTGCCTTTGAATGCCTCCTCTGTTCGGCCTATCGCTGAAACGATTTTGTCTAGGTAAGTGAAGGAAGCGATTTCTTTCAGAATTTTCCCACTAATTAGGATTGGTCATCGTTATTTTTCTTTTAGTGTCTTCATTACCTCTGTATCCTCTACGTTTACTTGGAGTCCTGTGTTCATTACCTCTTTTGCCAGTTTGTTGGTTTTCGTCCGTGTATCTCCAAGTTTAAGTAACATGAGACATAAATTATCTGCAAAGTCCAGATATTCTAGTGTCTTTCCGTCGATTCAGCTTGTGCTTGTCTCTTCACTATCTAATGTCTGTTACAGAATCCAGTCCACCACAATCAGGAATACCATAGTGGACAGCTTTAATAGAAATGTGTGTATATTTAAATAGTATTTTTGTAAGACGCAGATTATTTGAAAATTGTGATCTATTTACACAATACATTCCAACCAATCTGATCACACAATTATTTGTCAAGTCAATTTATATCTGATAGTCTCCGTCTTCCAACAACACTATTCAGATGTTAGATATAATAAACATTTCTACAATAGCCATTCTTCTTTATTTAGAGCCTGAAATCAAATTTTACCATGGTTTTAGAAGCGAATTGTTGTTGTTCTTGCTAGGCGTGGCGCAATTACCTTCATGTTATCAATACATTACAATTTTTTAACTTTAATTATGAAGCGTTTTTTCTACAGAGAACACTTTTAAATATGGTTTCTCAATCTTCCTTTGGACAGCCATCTATTGGTTTTAGCGTAACAGATGTTTCGAGGTTATTTCAGTATTTTCAATGGAAAACTGAGAGATAAATGCACCGTAACACAAACCACATTAGTGATTGAGTTTTTATGATAATTGCAGTGTTGCATAAGTTACGACTTGTTCGATAATATCACAGTTTTATGAAATAAGACCATATAAATTAGTGAATTTGACGGGAAATTTAGTGAAACACTGGCGAAACAATGGCTGAACTGATATCAATGTCTCTGTTAACAGTTTTCAAAATTATAATGCAATATAGTTAATAGAACAATGACGTATTATTGATATAAGTATAAAACTTGGGCACTGTAGTGAAGCACAACTCCATTATGGATCAGATTTTATTTTGATAAATCCCACACACAAGTATATAAATGAAGGAAAAAAGTTGTGTGATTAGCTTGATATGATTATGAGTGGCAATAGTTCGTGCTCGAAACGTCATCAGTTAGTATTACTGCATAACACTGTGATTTATCAAAATAAAATCTTATCCGTAATGGAATTAAGTATTATATTCAACTCTATGAAAAAACATGAAAGCTTACATAAAATGCTCTCGGTTGGTTTCGAACAACTGACGTCATAATACTAAATATTCGTTACTGTGATATTCAAATTTTTCACCATTTGTTTGCTGACCTTTATGGGAAGAAATAATTGGTTAATGGTTGACCTATAAATATCGACCAACTAAATCTCTCATGGAACACGTGAATACAGATATATCCATAACTTTACACTCATTTAAATTATTACTCCTCTGAAGTTATCACTAAAGATGTCTGATAAAAAGGTGAAACCAACCAATTCAGAAGAAAGATCATTAGTGAAAATGGTTTGAGAGGATATTAGTTTTCGCTGTAATGACTAGCTGTGTTTGAATAAACCTGACTATATATGTCTCTTGATAAATGAATCACTAACGAAAAATTATATACAACTGATGTAAATATTTCTTACTTTTCCTTCAAAAATAGAAATTATATTTACGAACAGTGATTTGATTTCGGTGAGGAATACTGATATACGGGAGTGGATAAAATGAACTTATTATTAGAATAATATCAAATATGCTTAGATTTATGGATGGCTCTCTCGCTATCGTCGTTTGATTACAGATTTCGACATCTTTTGAAGCATAATCTTCAGTTGATTTTACCTTTCCATTTGAATTTCAAGTCTGAATAGATGAATTATTATTTCGGAAATATTAGCAGAGAAAAAAGTTTGTTTCTTACAGCTTTGAAAATCCCAAATGATATGAAACGTTGTTATGTTAAAGAAAAATAGAAGTTAACTACCATTTCTCAGTTATCTGCATGTAATATTCAACCCTTGAGTTCTGAATAGGACACAAGGATTCTCCATTGCATTCTGTGCCAACACTTTCAGAGAGCTCGATGACCACCCACAAGCGTTTATTTCCTCTTTACATGATCTCCATATTATCCTCAGAAGCGCATCTGGTCGTTTAATGTCACCTGAACGCCTACTCCTGATACGTCTATTCCGTCTCCATCTCTTTTTGTATGTTTCTGGAATAATAGACTCTCCACCGGTTCTCTACCAGAGCCGTTCCTTAATGTCAGATATTTGATCTTCAGCATCAAGGCAGAGAAGACAACTGTTGATTAAAGTCTTTAGAATCCTATGAGAGATGATTTGACTAACAACCTTGCCAATTGTCTGAACTACTTGAAAGCATAGACTTGACATCAGCATTAAAAACTCGAATCTTGTTCCGTGTGCCAAGTGCTGTTCATATACGTACAAGACTGAATTCAAAGTAAAAAAAAACGCCTGTCTTGCTATCTGGCTCCTGTCTTGGATGGGTATGACATCATCACACGGTGCCACCTGAAGTCTAAACGTCTCTATAGAGTGATGAACTTCAGAGAAGTGAATTCTTTACCATATGTATTGACGGTGACTGCTACTTTCTGTCGGCTTTCTTCATCTTCTCTGTCTTCCTTATGCCAATTTGAAGTTCAGGCTTCACTGCCTCTTCTTTCAGGTTTCTGAATTCCTCTTATAAGTCTTTGAGTTTGTGCTCAGTGTGGCATAAATCATTCACAAAATTCAGTTTTTCCAGGGTTCTGTTCTTGGTTTCGAATGTGGTTCCATGCAGCTTTCCTGACTAACGTTGCTTAATGTCTCCGGCTTTACCATGATGACTGCAGTGATGTCGTCCTTTGAGTCTTCGTCATCTAATTTCTCAGTGTCTTATTTAAATTTCCTCATCACGTTATCTTTGAATGCCTTCAACATCTTTTTAAGGGTTATCTGAATAAATCTGCTCCCGTTTTGCCCTTGTTTCTGATAGGCAGCGTCTCCCATTTCTCATACATATATACATATGCTTTGGATTGTCTATAACTATTGGTTTTCTTTTCCAGGGTGTGGTCACTAGCCTCATACACAACCTTCTTCCTTTTTCCGGACCTAAGAGCGGCTTGAAAACCAGGCCAGACTCTGTATGTGACAAGGGCTAATTAGCTTATAAAACAATTCACTTTCAAGAGTTAGTTTGTTTCAAGTCTGACCACAGATTGATATCAGTTAGAAAAATACTGCGTGGCATAGCGGTTAGTACGTTCGCCGACCATTCACATCGTCCGGCGTTCAATCCTCAAGCGACGCACTCTTTTACCTCGCTAAGTCAGAAATAATACTCGTAAAGAGGAAAGGTTAGGCATGAGACTAGCAACCCCATCCTATAAAATAAACACTGCTATAGAAACTTCAAGCCACTAGCTTGAAGCCCTATGTTCTACTGGAGAGTGTAAACGAAAAAAGAGAACTACTGAAAACTAAAGAGTACTGAGCAGCTGTTTCGCAATTTGGTGGAAGTTAGAGTTCATTGACCATTGAATTGGGTCCCAGTATCTGAATGATTTACGAGCTGGCGTTGTAACTAGAAGGCCCTGGACTCGACCCTCCTTGGTGCCTACTGTAGATGCGCTCCAGCTAGGGGCGAATGGCTGTTCAGCCCTCCTTAGTTTTAAGTGATTCCTCAACTGATAACGATCTGGTGTCAGATTTGAAACTCATTATTTATCGGCTCAAAATTATTTCCTACGAACTTTTAGTAATTCAGGAGAAAATTAGTTAGATATGCCATACATTCACTTAAAAGTCACCGATGTTTTTAGATTCTGCTAATTATTCCTTAGGTAATGAATTCAATCAAAATGCACTATATTATTATCTGTAAAACGGATCCTAACTATCAGGCAGTGGGATAAAGTAGTGTAGAACATTACATAGTGGTACCAATAACCTCAATGAAGGCTATACATATATAAATTTACTTTTACGTCTGTGGTTCACTGCTGGGATGATAATTTAATGAAAGTTATCGCAGATCTCCACACCCTAGAGACTGAAATGGTGTAAATTTGTCTGTATTTGCAAATTACTTTAACAACTGGCCATTCAAAACACTCAGAAGAAAAAACACGAGAATCTAAACACTCTTAAATGACCTCAAATATCGGCCTACACTTTAAGGGATGGTTGATAATCCTTTCAGAAACAAATACACTCGCTTCACTTAGCATCAGTGATTGATGGATACCCGTTATCCGCAATGTATAACTCATGTATAATCAGTGAATATTCACAGGTCCAAAGGTTGTCTCCATATTAAATACCTTCATTTAATACTACACACAGGGATACAGTAATCATAAATAGATGGTATTCCGACTGAAAACTACTGCTTACAGTCACATCAGTTGTCAATCTCAGATCAACTTATATAAAACGAATTATATTCTGTGAAAATGACCAAATTATACCCGGAACTTGATAACCACTGATTGACAGTTTCCAATTATCTAAAATTCCACAGCTGACCTGATGTTCTCGACCGCTCTCTGAACAGAAAGAAATGAAATGATATGTTATCAAAACCGTATGGCTGATTCACATCCTTAACTTGACTAGTCATGTTTAATATTAGCGATGCATTATGTAGCGTGGTGGACACGTATTTTGATCGACATGTGGATGCCAACTTAGTGCTGATGATAAAAAAATTATCGACCATCTATTACGTTAGTTCTGGGGAATACAACTGAACCAAATAAAGCAGTTAAAACATTCATCCCACTTACTTCCTACCATCAAAATGTTTGCAAATAGGTCATTTTTATTTGGTCGACATGAAATTTATGTTAAGTAGACGTTTTATACAGAACAGATTGTTAAGATGACTGAGAGTTTTTTCATTGCTCACAAAATCCCTGGGGCATTTTTCTTAGTAGCACATTTCCAATCATCGCCAGTCTGATTAAAAACTATTCCTCGCACTTATTACGAAGTCTTTTTGTCTGGAGATAATTTGGCAGCTCTTGTTCCTCTTCATATTTGAAGTTCGTCGCAGGTAGTGTTTTAGGGTCGAATGGTTAAGATAGGTCAGTCAAAGTCCTTGTCTCTGGCTAAATATTTGCTCTGGCTTTTTCGTCTAAATAGTTACAGATGCATACGTGTAAGGACTAACGAATGGTCGGAAGTTTCAAAGATGTTCCAAACGTAATGCCAATTTTTTTTTCATCGGTTTACTTTCTTTGACAATCTACAGCCCATTTGTGCTCATCCTGCCTTTAAGTGAGATAGTGTTCCTGCTTACATTTCAAGTTGACATCTACCAGGGTTAGATGCTTGAATCAATGAAACTGTAGGAAATGATCACTGTTGTAAAACTCTAGCAAAATATCACATAGGTTACCCCATTATCATTTTCCAACTCGCTCATCTCTCCCAGTTGATTATTAGGCTCATCTACTAACACTGCTAAGTCAGCCGATTTACTATTTTTGTAGTATACTGAACATTTGATAAAAATCATTCTTTTCTTCGTCTGAGTGCCTAACTAGACGAAGATTATGAGATGTGTATAATTATAACAGTTTTATGTGTACGGACGCATGGACTAAAGTAGGTATTACATGGATAAATTCCCACCGGAATTTAGTGGGGCCTTGCATTTTGTGCTCCGAAATATTGTACTATCCAGAAGTAAACAAGCGAGTCCCCGTTATCTAGACACAGAATGTTCTGTCAGTCATTTACAATAAAATCCTGCATATTCTCACCAAGGCAGTCAATACACATGGGCACAATTCATAAATAATTTCATAATATCAAAACATTCACATAAAATTTATTTATTGACTTAAGGTATTAATTTCTACGCAGATTTTTAACTAATTTCACTCATAGTTCAGCTCAGCTCTTCATATGCATCTGTACATTTTATAATAAGCAATATTTTTCTCTGCAGAGTATGTGATTATTCACAGTGTTAAGCCAATAGACTTCACATAATTTATATCACGCTTCAGCTGGCACATCATCAGAGGACAACAGAAACAGCTTACGCAGTAATCATCCGCCAGATTACCCTGAAAGTGAAAAGTTATATAGATAACATAAATAAAGTGAATTAGTTACTTTTTAAAAGTGCTATAGTAGAATGACGTCTGAAGAAACAAAGTGATCTCATTGAAGTTTCAACTTTTTACTCAATGCAGACATTGATTCAAAGAAATAAGACATTACAATCATATATAAAATCCATGGAAATGAGCATAGCAAGGCGGTAATTGAAAAAAAACTTTTCTCAACACATGCCACGGAGAACCATTTCAACCACTAATTTTGCTTTAACGAAGCTAGTACAACCAAAACTTTTCTGAAAACTACTTAGTTCAATTGTGTGAAAACGGGTTTTCATTGCCATGTGAATTTGTTGGCTATTCCCCTAAAAAATGGAGACCAGAAGTTTCATGTATATCATTTTGTTGGGTTCCCACAGTTTATGAGTACAGCACAACCAGTCAATTGTAGATGGCAGATGTCACGAAAGCATTCAGTGATACATCCAAAAATGGTAAATCTAAAACATTTTGGTGTATGTGGGACTACTCTTGTGGTATGTTATTGTTTGGTGAAAATCTATGTTTGAAAAATAAAGCATCTAGTTCTTAAAAATTCCCAGCTGACAAATTAGTTAGTAATGGAGGGAAAAAGGACTTCGCTTCATTTTATTGCTTTAGTGCCAATACACAGTGTACTCGGATATTTTAGGCTGTTGTCTTCTCAGGTGCCAGGAATGAAGCCCTAAGATTTCAGTCCATTAAATGCAGTGGTGGGGTTTATTTCTTTTCTTGATCACCTTTATCTTATTAATATATGCGTAAAACTTGGCCAGTGTGGTAGTAAGTAATTCCATATTAGTGTGTTTATCAAATGTACCATACAGTAAAACAGTATTATTAACTGAATGACGTTTCGAGCAAACTTTATTGCTCATAATCATATCAATTATAATCACACAACTTTCCGAACTTGAGTTTTATAGTTTCCTTTGTTCTCTTCTATTTGTCGTAGGGGTAACAGAATTTTCCATATATCTGGAAAAGGTGTTGAATTATTCCTCTTGCACGTGCTTGCAGTTGATTCGATAAACAAAGCTTCTGTTATCAATCTCTCCCTCCACCGTGTGACATTAGATTTTAAAACTGTCATCCTATCCCATCCTACCAAACCAACAATAAGGAATCTAAATCATCAGTAGTAATTCCATATTTTTATTTTGACTACAGCTTGATTCCACACTGTACAAGGAAGGAACCTCGGAAACCTTAGGCAGAATTCTTAACAAATCAGGAATAGAAGTGGCTTTCATTCAAACCGACCACAAACTCAATAAGAAAGAAGCTTTGTCGGCTAAAGGATCCTGTGAAACCTTTAAAACAAAGCAATTTAGTTTATCTTGTACCCTGCAACGATTGTCAGGTCAAATACATAGGTCAAAATAGTAGAACAGGGGCAGTCAGACTAGCCGAACATAAAAAGCAAGCAAAATCTAGATTGGTTGACCCCAATAAGATAAGATAAGATCTGCCTGCTGAAACACACAATCATACAATAGGATGAGATAGGATGGCAGATTTAAAATCTAATGTCACACGGTGGGGGGAGAGATTGATAACAGAAGCTTTGTTGATCGAATCAACTGCAAACACCTGTAAAAGGAATTTATTTTTATTTTTCTACTTTTGATTACAGCTTGATTCCACATTGTATTTTTGGTACAGGTATGGAATTTTCAGCATAGATATCGGTAGCCCATATTTTGCAGTCCGACCATAGATATCAGGTGTTCGTCGGCAGGGGATCGAACACCAGGATGGTTCAACACCTTTTCCAGATATATGGAAAATTCTGTTACCCCTACGACAAATAGAAGAGGACAAAGGAAACTATAAAACTCAAGTTCGGAAAGTTGTGTGATTATAATTGATATGATTATGAGCAATAAAGTTTGCTCGAAACGTCATTCAGTTAATAATACTGTTTTACTGTATGGTACATCTAATAAACACACTAATATGAAACACATTTTTCTTAATTCAGCTTGATATTCTTGTCGAGAAATTGATCACCCACTTTGCTGTATCTACATTTGATGTAGATGGTTGGAGGCAATCGGCAGGAAAATTTGGACCTAAATTTCCAGCCGACTGCCTCCAGCCATTTAATATCATCGAACATAGAATAGTGGCCACATTGCAAACCTGACTGACAGAATTCAGTTCGCACCGAAGAGAGGACTATACACATCGCACTGGTTACTAGTGTCAAACCGAAGCATACAGTTGATGTAGCTTTGTCATAAACCTTATCACTTGTCGTGCTATTCTTTCCTTCCAAAAATATTTTGAATGATTTAATCTGAATGGTTTTTTTGATTCCTTGCGAGCAACAACAGACGCCCTAGAGTGTTTATGAATTACAACTTTTGGATGTTTCAATATATGTCTCGGCAAAATCTGTCATTTATTATTGATTAGTTGAGCACAGCTTATAAATAGTGTAAATTTTATAAGTGATATACACATTTGTGCATGTTGAATCACTGACCGACAAATGTGCTCTGAAGACTGAAGCTTTCGGTTTTGGCTTTTATGTCGTCCAAAACTGAATAATAAATACAAGCAGTGATTTATACTTATGCATTTCACCGGTCTACTGATTGCAGGATAAGTGTTGCAGATCATAGAATAAAAAATTTCCAAGTAGCAAATCTCAACCAGCTAATAAATAACAAGAAATGACCATTTCAACTCATAACTACATACCACAATATGTTGCTTCATACGATGCTTAATACGAAGTTTCAACGGTCCAGATCCAATCACTGGAAGCCAACAAGCCTCACCCATTACATCATATAAGTAGCATAAATAGCACGGCAGACAAAATGTTGTCAGATAGCCTATAAGTTAAATTGTAAAGTAAGCGTATTGTATCAAGAAAAAGCTAAATAAAGTAAATTACACAAATGTTGCATTATTTGCCATGTAGATTCAATTTTCTTCACAGCTTTTAATGCATTAGTCTTCATAATGCAGAATATAAAGAATCCTCCTGACTAAACTTCCGAATGAACTGACTTGCAACATTCCCATGTGAATCTTTCACTAAATAAAGATTGTTGGCTGTGCAAAAAAAACCTATTATTACTGAATAGAAAATTCATGTTCCACCAGAAAGATCAGATGCTTTCTTTAAAGGATAGAGATGGTAAATGTGAAAATGTTCGTTCAGGTATCAAAGCATTTTTTTAAAAAACATTTCTGATGCCTGAGGCCATGACGATAACAAAAGCTAGAATTTATTCATCATTACTGATAAAATAGGTAGGTAACTGTCGTTATCACTGTAGAGAAATGTGTTATCAGTTTGCTTTTTCTTAAAAAATAAATATAAGAAATTGTTGGAATTTCACTAATGATTAGAATTAAAGTAAACACAAAGCTTTTCTTTATAGTCTAGACTGCATAATGACCGATATTATTAAAGTTTCTTGAAATAGATTACAAGATGTCTGTTTTTGTTTGCCGTGAATATTCTAGGCAAAGAGGGTGATTCTCTGTATCCGTTCGTATTAATAAAGGTAGTGTTTTTGAAAACTATTTTCATGAACAAAATGTCAAGAAATATGTGAATAGCTCATTGAAAACCTGTAGTAGGAATGTTGTTTACGTACGTTTACTGTACGTCCATTCATTTTACTTCTATTATATAACTAAACCATTCTTCGTGAACTAACGAAACTTTATTTATTTTACTTTTTGATTACAGCTTGATTCCACACCGTATTTTTGGTACAAATGTGGAATTTTCAGCGTGGATATCGGTAGCGCAAATTCCGCAGGCCGATCATAGATATCAGGTGTTCGTCGGCAGGGGATTGAACCCCGGACCATGCGCATGATTGGCGAGAGTCCTAAGCACTGTGCCACCAGTGTACAGTTATTATATGACATTCTAATATTCAGAATATCTAAATGCAATTCTGAAATGTCTAACTATATGCAAAATAAAGAACATGGATTGGAAATCTTTCTCATTATTTAACAAATTAAAGAATTCTGATAAGAAAGAGCTTTTTATTTATTCTACAACCATTGTGAAACTGGTTGATTATTCAACTATTATAAAAGATTTTTATCTATTGGTGTTCGTTTGGTCGAAATATGATGTATTCTTAACTTGATTTGCCACTGATACCAAATTCTTTGAAATGAATCATAATTTTAATGCATTACCATCAGTGACTGGGAAACCTACACTGAATACTACATTTTCAAATCCACACACTTTGTTATAACTATGTGTCATAACTATGGTATTAAATGTGTTTTTAAAAAAGAATATGGTGTACTAACGGTGACAAAGTACTCTGTGACAGATCTAGAAGGCTAATGAACTAAATGTATGTCAAATCAAATTCATTTTTGCACAAATAGCTTTTTTCTTAAAACATAAAGTGGCAGAAAGGAAGTACTTTTCTTAAATTTTCTGAGTACTGGTACTCACTATATAAGGCCTATTTGCAAAGATTGTGCCAATAAAACAGATCTTCCTACTGACGCCTATAATTTTTTATCGTGTGTAAAAGTTTATTTATTTGCGCTTCTTTGACTTCCAAGTGGAATACGTTGTTTCAAACTTTTGAAGCGTCCGTAACGATGGTGGCATAGTGGTTAGGATCCTCGCCTACCATGCACATGGTCCGGGGTTCGAGCCCACGCCGACGCACACCCGATATCTATGGTCGGCCTGCGAAATCTGGGCTACCGATATCCACGCTGAAAATTCCATACTTGTACCAAAAATACGGTGTGGAATCAAGCTGTAAATCAAAAATAAAAAAATAAAACGGTATGGTTTTTACGTCCAACATTCCCTGTTTTATGACTAGTAAACCAGACTAGATTTATTAGTGCATCGACCAGGAATAGAAAAAGAGCTCCTACATGACTGGCGAATATTCTTTCATTGAACAACAAGTGTACCTTACTTTTCATAGAACGAATGCCCAAGTTGGCATTTCAGGATGAAATTCTTACTTTTAAGAATAACAAAAATGGTGTTCTTTCAATAGAACTTGTTAATCGGAAGTGTGTCATTTAAAGCATAACTTCACCATTATTACTATTAATTAAGATAAAAGCTTTATTCACATTCATTCAACAATTTGAAATCAAGATAATAGAATTTAGCATCTGGGTAGATTATGATTCCTAAACAGAACATACGTATATATATATATATATATATATATATATATATGAGTAAAAGAGTGTGTATTGAAATGTTGCGCGTGTTTACTTTATGCAATATGACGGTTACAGTGAAGTGTCAAGTGGCGTTAGATTACTTTGCCATACTACCCTAGCAGTTTGTATCAGAATGCAACTTTCAAACTTACATGAGTTCATATCATCGAAACAATTACATATACCACTACTCCAATCTCTTGTTACTGGAAGTGACTGCGAAAAAGAAAAGAAAGATTTTTCTGACTCAATAAATCATGTTAAGTAGTTTTGTCACGTTTAAAAACTGACATGATATATGTTAAAAATGTACTGGTAGGTAAAAGTAGGCTCCTCGATAGAAAAATACAGTTACACTCTGAAAAAGGTTACTGCTACGCAACCGTTGTCTTTTTTCTTTGAACTAAGCGTAGTATTGGCTTTCTCCTAAAGTATACAGTTTTGAAAGTTTTCATTTCTGCACAAGACTTCATGCTGTTTCTTCGGACCATGCAACAGCTGTGTACTATACAGTTAGTTATCTTAGAATCACTTTTTTAGCCTTTCTTCAGTACCTTTGTCCTGAAGCAGTTTCAGTGCTTTATACTCACTTCTTCTTCTTCCCCATTTTATTATCCGTTACTTCATGTAGCGGTATAAGGCAACACGGATCACTGTTTATTAGTGATGAGTCTCATAATCTCTGGCTGCCTACTTGTCTGAAAGTTATTCTGAATGCAGATAAAACGACTTATCAGAAATTCTATACAGAATATTGTAAACGTTCCAGCTTCACATAAATACAGCTTAACGCAGACTGATTGTGTTACTCCACAATGAAAAGATCTATTTTAAATTATTCATTCAGTGACAATAAAATCTAATTAATCGTTTTATAACCGAGGAAAATAAAACCCTCGTGTAGTTATTAGATGCTTCAAAAGACTGGCACACATGAACACAAAATTCACTGGTTAGTTTTATCGCTAACACCTAACAAACACGCCTATTTCTTAGTGAATATTGGCCACAATAGACGATATGATTTTACTGTAAGAAATCTCTATGAATTATCCCAGATTATTTGTTAAAAGTAAATAAATCAATTCATAAATTATTCTTAGAAACACAAAAAATAATAATAAAAGACCGCCTCTGCATAACAAAATTTCTGTAACACAGTATTAAGCGTTTCAAATTATGCACCTGCTAAACGATTATGACTGAAGCAACCCCATAGAACTAAAAATGACCCTATAAATCCCCAGTAGATTTAAGGTGAAACATACCTCACTGTAAAGAAAACATTTACCGTATACTCAACAATTTACTGGAGGGTTAAAATTGCTTTAGAGCATTCTGTCTGAGATTAAGTTGTCCTTACATGAAACAAATCGTTACCAACAGACGGGAGTGAGTGTAACTGAAGTCCCACAGTAAATCCAAATAGACAAATGTTTGTTTACAGTAAATCAAATGTTTTCTAAAACTAATTTCTTTTCCACTAGTAACGAAAACCTTTTGGAGTTTGACTATGCCTTTTGAAAGAAAGATGCATCTGAGATTAGTTTTATGCCGGTTTGAACTCAAAGCATTTCAATGAATCCAAATTCGCTGATATCAAAGGATGGTTTATCACAGGCATTGAAAGTTTACATATACGTAAGATTCTTCATGAAAAATTTCTATTTATTCACCAGAAGATTTAAGGTGAGCAGATGACATAGCAATGATACATTTCATGTTTCTAAGTTAATTGACATAAGCTATTTAGATTGCAGCTTTTTGAAGATACCATCATTATTAGTTGAACGTGACTGAGCTTAGGTGAGCAAAAGATAGCTCATAAATTCATTAAATTTACGGTTGGTTTTATGAGAGATGGTTTTATTTAGTAACTTTCTAATTTCATAATATACTATTTGAATCTTACTACTGATGAGTATTTAATTGGACTTTATATGCACAAATTTCAATCATGACATGCAATATTAGCCGTTTCCACAACAAATAAATCCAAGTACCGCTTCTGTGATATATTTTCCAAACAGTAACTTTAGTTGTTGAACTCACTCAAACATCACTTTTCAGATATGCCTACCTCAAACTTTCTCATTATCCGTTATTAAACTTTGTTTGAAATTATAAACACTTGGGAATTATTTATAAAATAATTCATTAAACAAACCGTTCGAGGTTGCTGTTGTACAATGGGGCTTGCCATCTGTTCTTAGAAAGCTAGTAAATTTAAAAGTACCCGTAAGACATTTGTTTGACGGATGCTTGACCTTGAGTGATATTGATTAAGTTAACAGATATGGTTCATTGAATCTTATTATTAATGAATAAATGATTTTACGGTAAAATATACTAAAGTGACAATTATGTGTGCTGGAATATTTCAAGAAAATTGTCCTTATCAAGACATAATGTCCCAAAAACGTTTAGACACTTATGTGTATATGCATATATCTATACTAAAGGATATTAATCCTTAACATTTCTCTGTTATTCTGCTATTCGGAATAATCATCAGCAACCCGTAGTTTGTCTACTCACATTTCTTTATCTAGAATATACTTATAATTACTCAGATAAATAATGTACTACGAAAATGTTTTATAAAAAGTGAAGTTGCTTCTAAACAGAAATAATTTCCTATAAATTGGGTGTGAGAATTATGATATTAAGCAAATCAAATATTATTTCCTGAATACTTAATTTTGCATAAGAAAGCCACTGTGATGCATTTTGCAAACACTTGAGCCCATTCTACTTATCATCAGACCTCACAAATAATAAGGCAGAATTTGGCTGGTTTAAGTGATTTGACAGTTTGAATTGAAAATTTTCTTGTGTATTAGCGATGAACTGAAAAATACAAGATTTTTTATTAGATTAGTTGTTTGTATTACTTCAACATGGTTTGCAATCACTTCATGTCCTTCCCAGTTCCAATTCCTATGTATCATTTTTGTGTTTTATCTACTTTAGCATCTGGCTACTATTTAAGTTAATGTGCTTTATATTTAGAATTGCAGGACTGTTTATTGTCACAGACAACTAAGACTTTATGAAATGCTAAGAAAATAAAACTTCTGATATTGAGATCATCTCGGCTTACACAAAATATCTGAAACATACTAGCGAAACTCTTAGCTTTCAGTATAATTTTGTAGGGTCGTAATAGCGAATCACCTTACTTTCCGTATAAGTATTCATAAGATACCTGAGTTAACAGCCAGTAAATATATACAAGAAACATTCATTAAAACATACATCAAAACAAATACAGACTGGTCAAAGTAGTAGTGTTCGAAATACCAGAAGTTACTTATTACCGTTATGTATGCAAATCATGAAGAGTTGAAGTACCAACAACCATTTTGAGTGAATTTTCCAAAAGTAAAAGATATGCTTTTCCTTGTCCAGGAATTGCCATCATTAATGAACAAACCCCAAGTAATGATAAGGGATTTAACTGCGCTAGATAAGCATTTCATATTAGGTTTCACAATGGATCCACATCATTTCAATGTCACTGAAAGTCAAAAGACACTGAAACACTGTCTACTGCCCTATTGCAAGCACTAGAAAACCTGTAATCACCAAGTCAGACGACAATCATGTTAACGCGTGGTAAGTTCGACGTTATCCATTAAAACAAACGCTTCAGATTCAACATGACCACCATATGAATTGGAATATAGGTACCATCCGACACATGACTACGTTTAAGGAAGTCTATTCAAACTTTTTCGACGTAAATTCTCACCTAACATTTTGCGGTCTGCTTAAAACTTTGGCTACCAAAAGATTCCATCTCTCTATTGCATATCTTTTCTCTCGCTCGGTTTGTTTTAATCGATTAAGGTATGATTTCTAATGGTATTATCGTTGACTCTAAACTGTAGCAGTCCAAAACGAAACTACCTCTAGCAACCAGTCAGATAAGTAAGAAGTAGAAGTGCGCAATTTGAAATTAACGTCTATATACAAGTAATGCAATGTTATAAAATGGTTAGACAAGATAATATTCTTGTATGTGCTCCAAAGAAACCTCCCAGTTCCTCACAGAAGTCTGTAAATAAATTTGTCATGGTCATCAATTCGCTCATGCGGTAGTTTCTTTTTGTGCTGCTATAGTTTAGAGTCACCATTATCTACTCTTGTTTGTTTTTAAAATGTTTACAACCTTCTGTTTCCCAAGTTCTTACCAAACTTGAGGAAAGGCCTGATTGTGGTTGGCAGCATGAAATAACTGTCCTTCACCTATGTCGTTGGGTCCGAAAATGTACTTCTGAAGATCTTACAATTGGTTTTCAACTAGATATTGCGAATTTCTTGAACGAGGCAAAGGAGATATATCAGATTCAGCTCAGAGACCATTGTGTCACAGGATATACTGTCATTTAATAGTTTACGAAGAGAAAATATCATGTGACAAATTCCTTTGAAAACTCTGTACATTTTAATAAATACCGTCCAGAATAAAGATATTATTATTAAAAAAAAGTAAATAATTAAAATTCAGAGACGCTAGATATTTTGACTCCTCTGAAGGTCACCATTCGTTTGCCCATGATATTATACTCGCGGTTTACAATGTCACTCTAGTTTTTTTTCCTTTAAGACCATAAGTTATTTCCTTTTTTGTTACTTATCAGGTGATATTTTAATGAAAAGTATGCGTGATCACCGCCTCATCAAAAACACTATATTTTTTCGCCGTGATTAAAGTTAATCGATTAAACATCTCAAGGTCAACCCTGACCAATGATATTTTCACTAAAAGTTGAAATCTTTGTAGATGTAGGAAATTCAAATAAATTTCATACAAAATTGCATGAAGCTGTGATGAAGCGATAACCAAAATTTATGGCAAGTAAGAACTTATTGGTTGTGCGACTTCAACCAAAGGCAGCTCAAGTGAGTTACTACTCTATAATTATATGCAATGTCATCTGTCAACCACCTACTGGCAATTCCAATACATATTTTTCTATGATTTTAATGTTTGGAGTCCCAATGGCTTAATATATATCACAAAACTTATTTTTCACTTGGGAAAACTAAAAGAAATAATTCATTTTTCTGTTAGACTTTAAAAGCTTTTGTTAAAGAAATATCATGTTCAAGCAAAAAAGGTGTCAAACTTTGGTGATATCCACCTGGGCCCTTTTTCATTAATAAAAAGCTGGAGAAGTAATTGTATTCCAGCGTGAATAATTAAGCGTGTTTTTGCCACTTATGTAAACATTATCTTCTTAATTTGAATAGAATTTACTAGATGAATCCACTATAGAGTAACAGTGACTTTTATATAATTAGGATGAGATGATTCTAAGTATATAACTTAACTCTAAGCACGGCATGTTAAGTTTTAGGATTCAATTTTCAAAAGGTCAATGTATTTCAGTGGAAACATGCATTTCGTAGGTATCATTATTAGTACTATTCCTTTGAGTTCCAAGTGGAACATAGGTCTTCAACATCAAACCTCCGCTTTGTTCTGTTTTCCGCTGTTCTCTTTAGCTGGCCCCATGATTGTCCACAATCTCTCATCTCCTCCTCTCACGATCTCCATGTCACCCTTATACTACCCGCCCGACATTTCTTATTCGAGTTACGCTCGACGGTGGTGGGGTGTTCGTTGTCACTCACTGGTATCCCCAGCGTATGTCCAATCTATCTCCATTTTCTCCTGCATGTTTGTTGAGCGGTCGCTACTCGATTGTTTTGTTGCCACAGTTTCTTGCTGCTAATTCTTTCTGGCCATTTGATCTTCGATATAGAGAAAGCAGCTGTTAATAAAGTCTGAAACCTGTTCAAAATGCTTCCCGTGAAGCGCAATGCAAGTTTCTGAACCATACAGCAGAATTGACTGACTTAGCATTTCTGTTGAAAATGCAAATCTTGTTCCTTGTGCTGCGGAGTGCAGAAGATTTCCAAAGTGATTTCAGATTGATAAAGGTGTAGCTTGACTTTCCGATTCTGGCTGGCTTTAACATCTTTATCTGTTCCACGTGTGGTTAAAACAGTGCTCCCTAGATAAGTGAGTGAAGGAGGTGACCTCTTTTATATTTCTTAGATTGATAGTGATTAGTGATATTTTTTGTTGCTTTTGTCTGGTTATCTCCATCGCCTCCGTCTTCATGTTCATCTGGAGTCCTGTCTCTCCTGCTTGCTTCTTATGACAGATTGTTGGTTTTCGCATGCAAGTCTTTAATTTTGCATAACATCAAACCTAAATCATCTACAAGTGAAATCCAGATCTTCTACAGTCTTCTTTTCAATCCAACGTATTGCTGTCTTCTCGCTCCCAATGCACAATCTGACGCATACTTCGATCCACTATAATTAGGAATATCTTTGATGATAATAGGTCACCTTGTCTTACTCCTGTACTCACTTATAAGACTTCCTTGAATTTTCGGTTGTGTCTCCACTTCCTTAAGCAGCATTGAGATGAAATCTATCTGGTTTTCAGCGGGTCCGTCAGACGAAATCCGTGTTGCTTTGCGTGTATCCTTGTGTTTGTACACGCTTACTCCGATAATCAAATCATTAAATGCACAGAAGTCTGCAAAAGGTTCTTTATTGTCATCCACTTCTCCGAGAGCGTCTCGACTCAAAATGAGTTCTCTTCCTATAATTCCTGCTCTCAGTTTCGGCTGCTTTTATATCGACCTTAGGGATTTTGATGTCTCCATTTGTGATGTTGTTCACTACTGATTTCAGTTGTCTATAGACATCTTCCTTTTCTTGTTCTGCGTTGTTTGTAGCACAGTGCGTAGCATTGGATAATTAAAACCTTCTTTCCGTCCTTTCGATTTGAATCTCGCTGTCATAATTCTGGATGAAATTGGTTCCAACTGCATTAGGGCTTTGGCTGCTACTGATGACATCATAATAGCTACTCACTCCATTCGTGTGCTTGTGATTTTCCTCTGAATCTGCATTAACAGTTTTGGCAGTCCATACCCAATCTATCAGCTCTCGCATATTCCAAGCACTTCTATGTCTTATCTACTCATTTCTTTGGCTACCTGAGCAGCCCTCAAGGCTTTGTACCTTGACCGAACATTCCTAGTCCCTATTCCTATGTTTGCTTTCATCGAGAGAAGACACATCGTCTGACTCACTTCTCGAAGACTTTCACCACCCATATCAGTTCCCCTCACCGATTCCAGCGAGGAATAAGTTTTTCTTTTAAATCTTTAGTATTTTTATTATTTCTCTTCTCCGATTGATTGTCACGGGTAGGTTAGTTATATGTACACCCAGATTTCACTCTTTTATTGAGCCTGGGACCGGCTAGAAAACTAGTGGTCTAGTTAACTAGGCGTAGTTATTTGTAAGGATTATTATATTAGAATATTTAGACCATGAGTAACCAACAGTGCTTACGGATATGCACAATTTGGCATCTGTCGTTTAATTCATCAACTACTTAGAGCTTAACGGATTAAGAAACTGTCAGCCTTTTGTCTCATCATTTTGTCACAGTCTTAACCTAAATGACGGAAAACATAGTTACATTTTATGAATCATATCCAGATTAAATCTTTTTCATTTTAGCTGCAAATCATTGGAATTCATCAGTAATGTTAATAATCAGAGTATTATTTATATTTATTCCCCCCCTCCCATTAAGTGAAATGAATTAGTGCCTAAAAATAATAGCAGCTAGACATACGGAACGTTGGATGCTTGGTAAATGAATATCATTCGACTAGTACGCAAAGTTGTCATAGTTAACTGTCAAACATATAAGATATATGATATATATAAGTTCTTTTAAAAGGAATTCACTTCTACCCTATTTTAACAGTTGGAGGAAACTGTAGATTTAAGTGTACCATTAAAGTATCATTTTAATTCTAGAAGATGTTGAGTTGAGTACTTTAGCATACTTCAGTTGAACAAAGTGGTACCCATAAAACTGTAATTACATATGTATATATATATATGTATATTGTGTATATAAGTATACGTATGTGTTGTGATGTGTAACTGCTAAAGGTTTTCAAGATAAAAGGTGGTATATATGAAAGCGTCGGTGGCACAGTGGTTAGGACTCTCGCCGAGGTCCGAGGTTCGATCCCTTGCCGACGCACACCTGATATCTATGGTCGGCCTGCAAAATTTGGGCTACCGATATCCATGCTGAAAATTCCATATTAGTACCAAAAATACGGTGTGGAATCAAGCTGTAATAAAAAAAGGATCACATTAGGATAATATTTTACAAACCGGAGCAAAGAAATCATTTAATTTCAGTTCTGATGGCGATTCGGGATCATATTACTGCAGGCCCGTGGAGACTTGAAATAATCAGACTACAGATTATTACACTGATATTCACTATAACGTGAGCAACAGACAACCATTTATTTTCCTATTCCTACTCAGTCCTTTATTACTTTCACGTACTAATCAAGAGCTCAGGGTTTACATGTCCATCACTTATTCACAGGACCACGTGTCTTATAACCTCTAGATGGATACCATTTTGTGGTCGATTTAAAATATAGAATTATACGCCAATGTTATTCACTACTTTTCAATACCACTGCTTGCATACTAATTCCTTTTGATTTAGTTTTGAGTAGTTTGCAGTCAGTTTGCCATACAGTTGATAAGAATTACTATGGTAAAACCATTCTACATCCACTTAATCTTAATTAGAATTTCGATCCTCTTTAAGCACCTGTAGAGTCAGTAAATTATCTTGTTTATGTTTCTAGACAATTGATTTGAGAGATTGGAGTAGTGGAATATGTGATTGCTTTGAAGATCAGCGATCATGTAAGTGAAATAATTTTTTTCGTATTTCCCATATAAGCTATATAAGAGTTGGGAATTATGCGTGAGTTTTATTAGTGATAATTCATAAGACAGGTAACTACTACAACTCGATCAAAATATCAACCAAGTATTTTGTGAAATACACCTATACACCAAGATTTTTTTTTCATTGGTATATCTGTTTATTCATTATTGCAAATATCACTGACTCTTGTAAACATTTTGCAAATGGAGAAAAATAATATAAAGTCAGGAGTATAATTAATAACATTGCTAACGATTTTAAATCTAAAACAGTTATATGAAACCGCATTCCAAACTTGTACCTCTTATATCACTTATATTAAATGTTCTAACCACATCAAGTTCATCATTTTGAGAATCTAATGCCACTTGTTGTTTTAAAATTAAGGTGTACGGTCACGCATTGTTAGTGTCTTCCTGATTCCATAAAACTCATAAAATTCAAGATAATATAAGTGTTTCGTTTAGTAATTGATTTCAGTTACCAGATTTATGCGGCATTTAGAAAATTTTCACAGCAAATTTAGTAAATACACTAATTGTCTCCATGAAAAAGCAGGCAATCTAAAAGTAAGGTGTCTAAACATAGCTGTAAAAATTAATCCAACGTGTAATCAGTTCCAAGACGTGTTGTAAATTCAAGAAAAAAGGACCATCTGAATGTCATTTCTCTGGGAAAATCAATCAGGATACAAAGAATATCACAAAATTACAATTCAACGAATAGATTAATTGGGGAATAAGTCTATATTTATTTCTATGTTTACGATCGTCTACTAATTCGAAATGTTAAATCAAGTGACACATTTATCAGCAGGTTCCCAATGAGTCTGAATACTTAGACGAAACCACGCGAACTACAGTCCGCTTTTCACAATATTTCGTTAAAAGTAGCTTGTTTTAATAGGACCTGCTTAGTTTTATAATAAGAAGAAGTGTGAGAAAAAGACACAAATGTTGCATGTGATAACTCGTTACCAATCTATAATGAATGGTGAATAATGGAAACCTGGCTACCGTTCAAGTCTCAGAAGTATATAATTGCACAGTACAGTTGGTAATCGAAATGGTGCTGGCTGGGAAATGTCTTCATGTCTTTCCAATTCTGAAATTAGGCAGTGTGTTTCATGACGGGGAATCAAATATACTATTGATTAAGACTAAGTTGTCTTTGAAATTCATGATAATACTCGCAACAGTGCAAATAACAGAGAGAGCATAATGACTAGGAGCTCACAGAGATAGTTATGAAGCCAGTTTTATAATGGTTAGGATATTTGTCAACTTAAGCTGATACGAAATAACTTTATGTGGATAAAATAAGGTAGAAAATATGATCCGAAAAAGTTTAAAAGCTACCACCGATTTAATGAAGTCATCTCGTTTAATGTGAAGCAGGATCAGCGCTAAAAACACAAATGAAGAAGAAAAACACAGATATCTTAGGCCGAGCTTAAATCTACAAGCTCATGTAATCCTCATTAACACCTAAAAGCTGATGTTTGCAATATCTTAAATAACTTACGACATTAATTTCCATGGTAAAAGAAATTTCAATAAGCTGTCATTGAATTAACCTCGTATTGTGAGTTCTGAGGTAACAGTTATCAGTGGCGTGGACAATCTCAGGATTGAATCCCTCTTAAGATTTTGCCTAACAACAAATAAAAATAACAAGTAAAACGTGGTATGCATAAGCATTATAGTAGATTCACAATAAAACCCTATTAGTGGCTCATAATATAGTGGTTTGAAAGATACCCTTTTTCCTTAAGACTCATATCCTTTATTCTATTATTCCACGGGTATTAATCTTAGCAGAATAATATTTATTTACAGTGGAATTTAAGTGAGTTCCAGATCTATTTCACTAATCTCTTTATCTGATTAACGTGATCACCAGAATTAGCGTAATAGAGTTTTAAGACAAATACCTCATTTGTTTGTGAAACGGAGGAGATCGTATACTTTTTTTCGAAATTATCTTTTCGATACATTTCAAAAATCCCAAAGTAACCTGTATCTTTTTAATACTTTTATTCTTGTGCGTCAGGTTGTCTAACAGGATTCTGTCTGCCATGCTATCTGTGCCATATGTATAAAAATATGGGTGAAGCGTGTTGGCTACCTGCTGTTGGTAGTGGAGCATTAGAAATACGCATTAAGCATCGTACTAAACACCAAATCGCGGTATGCATTCATAATGTACTAATAATATAATCTGTCTTTTGTATTTATTCTGATTTTCTAATTAATGCTCCATGTTAAATTAAAAGCATTCTGATACCAGGACTGAAGTAGACAAATTATTTACATACGTCATTTTTATGATTGCATAATCTTCGACCGTATTAGCTTTTCACTTATTCTGATACTGACATGTCAACAGTACTGCTAAATGTGCTACTGCTTTTATAATATTAATGATATTAGAATTACACATATTTTCTCAAGTACTATTTCGAATGAAAATACAGATGACGTTTTTATCGAGATAATACATACATGTAAGTACAATTTTATTACTACTTCACAAACTGCTCTAAAGAAACAGAAGTTGTAGTTCTGAAATCATATTGTGAGAACAAACCTTGGATACATGAAGGTGATCGGTTCCAAGGTTTTAAATGACTTCATTAAGTAGTCGCTGAAATGTTTCCCATCGTTCACTGCTGTACCAAATTTATTTTTTTAAATAAATCATGACGGTAGAGGCATCTCCAGTTACTTTACCTGTATAGAAGAAGATAACAGACTGTGCGTCGGTGGCACAGCGGTTAGGACTCTCACCGACCATGCATATGGTCCGGAATTCAATCCCCTGCCGACGCACACCCGATATCTATGGTCAGCCTGCGAAATTCGGGCTACCGATATCATATGCTAAAAATTCCATACTTGTACCAAAAATACGGTGTGGCATCAAGCTGTAATCAAAATAAATAAAAAATAAAATAAAATTTTAATACTTTTAAATGTTGATTCACTTAATAATATTTATCAGTCAAAATATTTATTTACAAAAGCCTTCTTTATAATAATTATATCATTACTTTTTTCATTTATAAAATGCAGGGTTCGCTAGCTGATGACTACTGCCTTAGTTTTTGGTGTTGTCCTCTAATGATGTGTCAACTGGAGCGCGACTTGCAGTATGTCAAGTCTCTGGGAATCGAATCATGAGATAATATGACATACATTTTGAACTGATTGGAGCTAATTCTCAAAATCATACTCAAATTGTAATTGCTGAAAAAAATACAACTGCCTATAATTCATATGTGTTCACTATAAAATGTAAAATCTGTATGTGGAAAGAATTAGTGTTCATGAGTTTCACCTCTTATTTTTATTTCTTACCGTTATAGTACAAACATCCTTTAGATATTTGGAAAAGTACACTACAATGATACAAGACATCAACAATTCAGTTGATATATTACGTTGACGCCATATCCAATTCGTATGTGAGCACAACTTAAAAATATACGAAACTTGTAGATGTTGTGACCAATTGAGGACTGAAGAACACTGTACAGTTTTATTTTCCATTAACAGGGAAGATATACTAAACTCATCAAATATTCCATAAGTATTTCCCATCATTTATATCGTTTGCTTCTCATCACCTGCCTACAGCCTAAGTAAATAATTATTAATTCCATGTAATGAAGAGTTTTAACATACTTGAAAGTTTCACATAATGTCAGTTGACTGGAGGTTCTGGACTTAGCGAAGAGTACTCAGAAAGTCACCCTTATATACTTTTTGCACAGGGTGTTCAAGTTTAAACGAAGTAAATGTGTGCATAGAATGGCAAAGGAGTTACGTAGTAAAGATGAGAAATCTGTAAGATGATGAGTGACTAATAAACTGGATTACAATGCACTGAGTTCAGCTCAAATCATATGAACTAGAGATAAGCAAAATTACACGATATCTAGCTGGGGTGATGTTAAAGACAAAGATTACGTAATTAAGTGCAGGAGACAATAAACACATCCAGTTACCAGGGCAAGCGAAGACTGATAATTTCCTCTTTCTGAACACAAAAATTGGATTTCAGGCGCCTGATAGGGATTGCTTCGGTTAACTTAAGAAGAATCGCACTCTTCTGTCCACTCATAATTTTGAACGGTCTTGTTACGAACACCTTATGACCCGTGTCAAGGGGATGTCTGTTAATGACACTGTTGTAATCGTTTGTACCCTTGAGGCGTAGGCTTTTTGGTACATGTTCAGAAAATTGGAGGTGTGCCCTTCTTTCCGTTCTTCCAATTTAACCGCTCCCACAGGTCCACGTAAATTCGTATACACACTTGGAGTCAATATAAGGAGAGTATCTGCCGACTTTTGACTGCACCAAAGAGTATGTTGTCTGATAGACGGGAACCAACTAAGCTTCAGGATAGACTCTGACTAGTGAAGTACGCAATCTTCTCTTGAATACTGCTGATATATTTTCACCTTTAAAATCAAATTGAATTAAGGTAGGCTTTTTCTTCACCATTGTTTGGTTGACATTTGAGCCTTTACATCTTCCATATTCGCTTATGAATCTCTGAGGCTAACCGTTGCATTTCAAAGTCTTTTCGAGATTCATAAATTCTTCCTCTAATTTATCTGAAGAGCATATTCCCTTAACTCCATAGTACAGAGTCTTGACTAGTGATCGTTTAAAGCTAATCTGACAAAACTATTAAAACGTAGGTACTGTTCATTCCATGAAGGATTCTGTAAATTGACCTCCGGAGACTACCATCTGCTATGTGTTGCACGGTGATGTTAAGGAAATGGAACTTTCCGTCATTTTTATGTTTCATAGTAAATCCAGTATTTGTGTTGCGTTGCTGAATAGTCTGAGTGGGTAGGAAGCATGACTTTCATTGTTGCACACTACGAAAGTGTCATCAACATATCGGCAATAAGAAGTTGTTTCGTTGACTTCATGCTTCAGCTTTGTGTTCTCAAGGGTGGACATGAATATATCTGCTTAAACAGAGCTAAGCGGACTGCTCATAGCCACGCCATCTATCTGGCGATAAAGAATGCTGTCAAACTGGAATTGTACATTTTTTGACTGGACACTAGCCGATAATTAGTGTAATGTGTGTGTCTATTCCTATCCTTGGGGCAGATTTAATTCTATCAGTCAAGTTTACAATATGGCCAAAATGCTAGGCGGCTTGCCATTACGGTGCACTGTGAATTGTCGGCATTAGATGGAATTGTACATACATGGTACGCATTAGCAGTAAACATTTGAATTCCGACTCTGAGAGTTGGAGGATATCCGACTGAGTGGATAGTTTCACTGATAGGGATACTTGTGTTCATATATGGCGTAAGCCATCACATTGGTTGTCACAGTTGATAAAATATGAATGGTTGTATATTCGCTCGTGAATTCTAACTTCAACAAATTCGAGATGCAGGACCATCAATATCTATTATTTTTACTTAGGATTCATCTTCATAATACATTAAGACCACTCTGACTTTTGATATTTCGAACCGACACTTCGGAAAAGCTTACCAAAGCTAACCTCATATGTAGTTGTCAGGATTTTTATAGAGTTGGGTTTACATTTCAGTATGAGGTAATATGAGATAAAGTGATTGTGAGAAACAAGACGAACTGGTTATTTTGTTTCAGCTTTTTAATTGCTGATTCATAGCTGGTTTGAACGTTGTTAGGTTAGTTATTTACTGATAAGACAGGTACATCTCCGTGAGGTAAGAGATCATATTCTCAGCTGTGTATTCTTTTTCATTTCGTTATTGGAGAGATTGTAAATAATTATTAGTTAAATAAATATTAACTCTTTAAACACCTCTAAGCTAAGGTAGTTGAACAAATGCAGCAATGAATTTACCACTACATAGAATACAAGGCTTGCTATTTCGAAAGCATTAAATCTGTTTCATGTTAGCTTATGGGTACACAAAATAAACCTGACAAAACTAAATGAAAATGCTTTATGCTCTTAGCCTCTAGTTGTACATTTTTCTTTGAAATATACAAAGTATCTTCAAAAAATATTACATTTACGACACCGAAGCGATATATCAATGTGATTAATGTTTAACTAAGAATTTAAGTGCGAATTCTGCATCAATATCAGTTTAATCAAGAATTCATTTCATTCATGACAGTGTAGTTGCAAAATACTTTCAACCTGCAGATGTTATGGAATAACCTAAAAGGAACAGCTTTTGTTGTATTTAACAAAGTAATGTAATAATTCACATCAGTGGACACAAGAACTCCCTAGATGCAACAAATAAAAGAGTCAAAAGCAGCATGCAACTTTGAATCTCGTCAGCACTCTCTGTCACAAATTGGTTTGTCAGTGATTGCCAGTATGCACATTAAACCCTATTATAGACCTTCTTGTTGGGCATTTTCAGTCAATTAGAATTTAATACAATACCGTATTTAATTGATAACCGACTGACATATATAGACTACTTGTAAGTACATAATAGTTACCATATTTTTTTGACAATAATTAAATTATGAATTGAAAAATGTAAGTTCACTAGATGAAGAAAAAACTGTAGTCCAGGTGTTCACGATTTCACAGAAGAAATAAACACTCAAAGTGAAAGCGAGTGTATTCCCAAAAATCAGTGGTGAGATGCGTTTTGACATTCTGCAGAATAGTAAATGATCAGTATATATTATATCATTTTATAAGGGAAATACTAAATAACTGTCTCTCCTGCTTAAGAGTGCAGAAGCGTATGTTTGTGAAATATGAAGGAAAATATTTGAGCATATACTAGCTCGTTGGAAATGCTTTTCGTAATGTGCGTGCAACGTTTCTGAATCACAAAGAAACCCTAAGTTGACAAAAGTGTAACACATTCGGATCTTCTTCATTGTACTGAGTGTTGTATACATCTACACAATGTTGATTTTAAGGTATTAAACGCCCGTCTTACTTTTTTCAACCGATGCTGGCTTTGACATCTTTATCCTTCTTGCCACTAGCTGAAACGATTCTGTTCTGTCAGTAGAGTCAAAGAGACGACTTCCTTTAGACTCCTTTAGACATTGGTGGTGATTACCACTTTTGTCGCTCGTTGGATGTCTTCATTACCTCTCTCTTATTCATGTTCAAATGATGTCTTTTCTTCGCTATCTCTTCTGCCAGTCTGTTGCTTTTCTCTGGTGACAGTTGACAGCTCTGTTGTACGCCTGCCTTCTTTTCGAAAACTCCGATGAGCTTCCTTTTGTGAATTATTCGGCAAGTAGCATCATTGTACAGCTGATGAACGAGTCTTCCACATGTTTGTGGCACTGTGATTTGTAGTATTCAAGCAGTTGTCAAATTAATTTTCGTTGAATACACTCGAAGGCTTTTCATAGTCATTAAAGTTGAGATAGAGTGTATAATGCCATCTTAAGCTCAGTTTAACGATTATTATTTATAGTAATAATAATAATTTGCTTTATTCCAAAACAGTACTTGTGATACAGAATAGAATTCTCAGCATTTTACTACAGTATTGCATCCAGTTAGTACATTAACAATAAATAAAATTTTATATAGATTAAGGGTAATCTTAGTTCTTTATGACAAGATTGATCTTCGTGTGACTTACTTTTTTTAGAATTCAGTCTGTTCTGTATGTCGTCTCCCATTCAGGATGCCCTTTTGTTCTTAAAATTTTGTCTTGTGTGGACAAAAACATGATTCCGCTCCGGTTGTTGTAAAGGCACAAGTCCCCTATGTTTGGCAGTTTAACAAGGTAAACTTTGTTACGGTAGTCAGGCGCAATCACTTCATTCTAGAAATTTTGAAATAATAACGTAATCGCGTTCACTGAGGTCTCGGTTTTCAGACCTTCTGGGGATGATTATAAGCAAATATAACTTCAATAAATGTGTCCTCATTATTATGATATGCTCTAACACATGTCATCACACAGGATAGATCTCGATGTATAAAGGTAATATTACTTCGAAACATTTACTCTTTAGGTCCTTGTTCTTAGATTCGCATTTATATTTCGCTACAATGAGTTAACTGATCACAGAAAATGAGGAGTTAGTCCTACATAATAAGAAAATTCAGTGAACGCTAAGTTAAGCGGGTTACGTTTTATTAATACTTAAATTTACAAGACTTAAGCAACTAGAGTTAGGATCACCCTATATCAGAGTAACTAAATCAAGAGAAAGCAGGATACAGTATAGTATTATTTGAACCATCATTATATATCTTAAATGGCTCGCAGATAAATTATTACCAAGATTTAATAAACCGGTCGGGGCTCGAACCTCAGACCACGTGTTTCTCTGGTCAGCGCTCCACTGCTGAACCACTAGCCCACCAAAAATAACAAGAAAATATATCCATAGTATGAAATGTAGAATGGAATAAAGAGGCCAGTTATCCGACTTCACACCAATTTCACACGCTGAAAGCCTTAATATGAATTCCGCAACTTGGTTTTAAGAGACCTGAGCTAGTGTATTACTACCTTTATTTTATAATTGTAATAACAATTGATAAAAGGCAACAGAATCAAATTTGGCATGTTATGATGTTGGGAGAAGACTGGAGAAGAGAGTTTAAACGGGAAGTGATTAATAGGTCATCGTGTTATTATAAAAAAATGTGTGCGACCAACCAACTTTTAGACAAATCGGTCTGTAAAAGTACTTCAGTAATCGAAACAAATAATGTTTAGAATCCAATTTGGCATAATCAGGCTTAGTATTCTACAGATATTTTCGAAAACTCAACATCAAATAGGTGGATAGACTAATAGTGAAGTTGGAGCATCCAATTACTTATAACTTTTATTGAAAGAAAGATAACTATGCTGGTCATGTACGAGTGTTTTTATAACTAATTACCAGAAAATATATCGACCCACCTGAGTAATATATTGCTAACACTGTTGTGATTACTAAATATGGTGAAAAGTGTGAGCATTCTTTTAGTTATCTCTGTATTCAGTGAAACAAAGATAGTGTGCGTATGAGATAATAAGTTTTCTTTCCAAACTAGTTACATATGGTCCAAATTGTCTACAGAATTGTCCGGAGGTTGTTATTAAAAAAAGAATACTGTGCGCTTTGTTACTTACTTTCTTTTCGTTTTTCTTGACTGTGACTGTAAACATAGGCCATCAAAACCGTAAATATTGTCACTTATAATAAAGATAGAAAAATTTCATGTCACCTACTCTAATTATTTGATCTCACTGCGTCTATTGACATATTTTGAAAATAGATCTTACTAATTACATTCAATAAGCAAGGTCAAAGAGACTGCATATTGTCCAATCCAGAGTTAAAAAAGCCATTTTATACTATAATGAAAGTTTCATGTAGTGCAAATACAAAATATTACATCCAATCAAAAATGGAGAAAACTATGGTACTCATAAACAGAACTCAGAAAATATTTATATAAATAATGCTAAAAGTAAATAACTTGAACATAGCGTATTCAAAATTAACGTCTTCATTTCAACAATATGAGTTATCCAACGGAGAACAGTACACCTGTTGTACATCAGCCTACAGCAATACAGGTAAGATCGGGAAAACTGATTTTTAGTGATGCTTAATTATTTTCTATAATTTGTGTAAAATATGTGAGTATTAAATATGACAGTAAGACCCATTAAAAATTGAAGATTATGCTGTTTGAAATCCCAGTACAACCACTTATAGAAAAATATGAGCTGATAAACGGTATTCATAATTTCTCATTATTATAACTGAAATTAATATATAACACGATCTGTAAACAGATTTCTCAGCTTCATAGAATAATCCGAAGTTAATTAAAGTACCAACGATCTATTATTTTTAAATGAATTTTTGTGGTATACATGTATGAAGTTGCTATTCATATGTAAGTCTCTGTAAAAATAGATATCTTTTACAGGGAAGTTTCCTAACACAACCGCATAGTCTTTTTCTTCCTCAAAAGTAATTAATATATTTCATTATAGAGGTAAGAATTTTGCTTGGCCAGGTTTTATTTAAGTTAAATAAACAGGTAGGTCACCCTTGCTATTCAGTTCCACACTAAACAAACTTTAGTCGTCTATTCAGAAACAGTGTATCATCAGATTAGTAATAAGCTAGTTCAAATGATCTCACCGTTATTGAAAGCTTATTGTTCAAGAAGCGTAATTTAATTTTTTGATTCTCGTGTCTTGACATCAACATCCTCGCAGAGGAATGGTAAATCAACCCCTTATATTATCCAGGAAAGTTAGGCCTGGATATAGCATCATCCGCCTTTAACGAATATTCTCACATGCAACCCAGACGTTTAACCTCATGAGATATTAAATAAACAAATTACAATTTCTAAGTGAGAATAATTTTCATTTGAAGTCTGTTAGAAATTGGATGATTTCAGGGTACTCTTCGTTGGGATGATATTGATTAGAAAAACTTGAAACCAAAGTTTCTTATAGAAATTTTTCAAAGCTTTCATGATTTTACACCAACAACCATATAGACAGCTTGAATGAGCCTCCATTCTGAATCCATTTCAACGGAAAATTGTAAAAGAAAGCAAGCAGTCTAGTTTTCCCTTCATACAGACTCACGAATGAAAATTATGAATTTCACAAGATATGAAAAGACTGAAAGTGAGATGTATCAGTGTTCTGTTTTAAAAGTAAGCTAATCGGTATACTGTCTAAAAATTAATTTCTGATTTGCATATAGTAATTGAATCATTTCGTCCCAATCTTGTATGTGTTTAACGGTCTAATTTCAATAGACTACTATCTGTTTTACCAATGAAACTACAAATAAACTAATTACACTTTCAATGTATACTGACCTTTAATAGCACAAAAGAACTTATTTACGAAAATTGATCTTTTGTAAATAAGGTATTTCTATAATGAGTTTCGCTATACATGTCAATTTACTCAGATGCAACAAGAAGTTTCGATTTAAGTCTTTGAAAATACATTTTCGAGAAAAGACTTTTAGAGCACCTATAAATGAGCCAACTAGGTTAGTATCAGTACTCGCTTCAGCGGTTCATTTACCAAAATTGGAGTAATACAGAGAAGATCAGCATGGCTCCTGAGCAAGGATGATACCCAAAATCGTAGAGCTTTCCATAATTTTTGGGCGTCGCTTGCTTATCGATAGAATGCTTGCTTACCACTTATGTGGTCTGGCGTTCGATCCCCGGCCGAAGCACTCCTTCACCTCGCTAAACTGGTAGTAATTCCAGTAAAGAAGGAAGATTGAGCATGAGGCTGGTAATCCTATCCCATAAAAGTAAACACCACTGCTGCCGAAACTTCAAGCCTCCAGCTTGAAGCTCAATACTCCATCAGGAACGTAACGAAATAAAAAAGGTTAGTATTAGATGGTTGGAGGCAATCGGCAGGAAGCCTTAGACATGAGGAGACATGAGTTCCTTCAAGGTTGCAGATACGCCTTGCTGACGAGTGCCAACTAGCACGAAACCTAGGTCCAAGGCTTCCTGCCGATCGCCCCCAACCATCTAATACCATCATATCAATATGCACCGTGATTGTGAGCTAGCTAGAATGGTGGACACATTGCAACCTGACTGACAGAATTCATTCTACACCAATCAGAGGACTAGATGCATCACACTAGTTACTAGTGTCAAATCAAAAAAGGTTGAAGACTTTACTCAATGACACCGGATTTCCACAAGTTTGTAAATGTTTATCAGGGTAATGTGTGATTGCAGATAAATGGATTGGATGAAATATTTTTCTGCTAGTTAGGCAATAAATTAAGTGATCTGTGAAATCAACTGCTTAACCAGATATTAATGTTCTCTCAATAGCCTAGTTTTCTCATAGCTGTAAAATAAATCGATGCTACATTGGTGTCCTCATGTAAGTACAAACTGGTAATTCAAACAACTCTTCTGACTTTACTTCAAGACGTTGAATTAGTAGACGGCAACTGATTATGTGTCCTCTGAACACTAACGAGAAATTAAGTCAGAGGCTAGACTTCGTAGCCTGAAAGTAAGCGCTCAGATCCTGTCAGAACACAGGCTTCCATTTCAGATTCAGTCACTTTCCCCTAGTTTGAGAAGACTAAATTGCTAAAATTAGCCTAATTAATGTCCCATTTATGATAAGAAGATATAATTTAAACTGTTAACTATTAATCTAAGCACAAATCATTCATCACAGATATACGATGCCTTTAGTTAGGGAATAATTCATTTTCTTTTTTTTAATGGGGTATGATTATACCACATATATCATGCACAGAGAGCCTAAACACTTAGTGATTCGCAGCCATGTACACTGACTACCTGTATGAAAAACTCATAAAGGTATATGATGGATAAAAATTATTCTCTATCCTGTGTCACACTGTATATGTCCGTGTTGTTTGCAATTTACTACATAAAAATTAATTACTATGTGTCCGAATTACGTTCAAATGATATCTTAGACATGTCTACTGGTTTAATCAAACTGTTTTACTTTACAGATTAGCGCAAGCAGTGTCCATCAGAAATAATTGATCAGAATTTTATCCGCTCGTTTACACAGTCTTCTAAACTAAGTCACATATTTCAATCAGTTTGCCTGTTTTTCTATTTTAACTGTAGTGAAAAGATTTCGTAGAGTTTTTTCTCCAGATTGGGTCAAAAAAGTTATGAATAACTTAGCCTACTTCAGAATTATTTCCAAAACAGTTACGGAGACATAAATAATAAAAGGAGTAGTAGTAATCACGACAAAACTAAAGGAGTATTACAATTATCCGTATTCTTACCACACAGACAAAGGACACTGAAAAAGTTAACAAAGAATCCTAGCCGGACTTTGATTACAATGACACCTAAACCTAAAAATTCACTTGCAGGTAAACATCTTCAGTTTAAGGATCTTTATCAAACAGTGAGATTAAGTACGCTATCCTGATTATGCGGCTAGCCGCAAAGCCTTGACTATCCAGTTGAGATCAGTTAAATTCTTACAAGACACAATTCTGCTAAATTGAGAGTGATATGCGCTTATCAACACATACTCAGGAGATATGAAGCCACAGTTCTAAGTTCTCAAGTGAAAAGGAAGATTTATCACTGAATCTTATAGAAAGAATTTCATATCCAATATGGTTGAAAGCTGAATAACTAAACTGGTTTGATTCTGAGCAGTAATTCGTACTGAAAAATTCACCCACTAATTAATGCTATATCGCCGTTCGCTTTGTTAAACAGACCTACCTAATATCTTATCATTAAATTTTAACATACTTTAGAAAATGTGACTTTTAAAATTCTGTTGCTTTAGTTTTATACTATTGACATTTCTTCCATTAGAATGGATACTGTACATTGTTGTTTTCAGTGTCACTAATTCAGCAAAAATGCAGAATATCTCAACTAAAAATTATAATATAAAGGAATGATGCTGGGTTTATTTTATCATCCATTCTAATAGTAACTGGTATCTAATCTATTCATTTATAAATTAATGTAAATTTACTATGGTGACGAGAAGATAAAACCGGTTTCTAGCGGAAACAGATAAAATGTCAAGGAAATGAACACATAGAAGTATTCAAGTACATTAAAACAACTGTTTACTGAAAGACTTTTATTTCTTCTTGAATAATAATGAAGGTCATTAGAAAACTAGAAGTGGTAACAATGCTAATAAGAATGACACATGATTATTCAATTGTTTTGTTTCTCTTTCATATTTGGTCACAAAATAAATGAAATGAACTTAACATTATGTATATCTAAAAATAACTGGGTATACATATTTATGTAATGAAAAAGTTCCTAAGAAACTGATTGGTAGCTGTAAATCTACTAATCTAAACTTATTCACTGTTATCAAGAGTAAATTTAAGTGAAGTTTGGTTAGGTTGTTGAATAAAAGTTAATACGATTGATAGGTGGAATTCGTGTGGATTTGACTGACATTCATGTACGTCAGAAACTTGGTAAACACTATATAGAAATAAATATAAGCTGAAATTCATGGGCTATTGTCTTTCATTCCGTAAATCGATGGTTAAAATTTTCGTCTTACACACTATTAAGGTGTGGTTAGCTTGAAATAAACATTTGTACAAAGACTTTTCGCCTCCAATGGTTTCGGAATGTATTTTTAAAATGCTGGACTATTGTTAACACATAAAAACATGTAAACAATAAGCTGTGAACTTTGCAAGTTATAATTCATACTTAAAGAAATAAAAAGTGATCCCATAACTGAATTAGAGAGTGACCGTTTGAATGAAAAGTTCTCAGATGATTTTGTCCAACAGTCAATTTTTACAGTCATTAGTTATGAGGCAGAAAAACTTTAAAAAAACAAAGACTGATAAAAATTCACCTCATTCTACACAGCGAAAACGTAAGTCTTGTTGAAGCAGTTGTCCCATCACTACTGAGTGCAGTCTTATCTTTAGAAATTTATAGTCGCCTTCTGAGTTCAAAACCTTGCAGTGAAGTAGTCGTGTAGTGCTTGATAAAATGACTATTTAGTTGTCACCGCTTTCGGTGGTTCATTAGTTAATTTCTATCTGTAGTGTAATTTGTCTATTATTTAAAACTTCCCATTTCAGGGTATTCAAAATAACTAGCAGACTTAAAATCGGATGTCTGCAATCTTGCATAAAAATGACCATAAACACATTGTTCTTCAAGATGTCAACAGTTTATAAGCGACGCAACATGTAATAATTTTCTGCTGTCATCACTTTCAATATTTCAACGAAAAAAGTCCTCTTTATCAAAGAAATAATCGAATTTAAATCCACTAAAATCGTGTGGTAGTTTATTATTAAGTAAAAGGCTGTTATTATTGACACAATTACTCAGGAATTATTTCTAAAAGCAAACAGTTACGCAATAGACAACGACGCGATAAATGTAAGGGTTTGTATTTCGAAAAGGTCAAAATTATTATTCGATGAGAAGTAAGCCAGTCGACTGTTACAGGTGTGAAGAGGATGAGATAAAAACGAGCGAAATGTATAAAAAGAACACGTAAGAATGATCGAAGTGAATCAGTTATCGAAACCAAACGCAAAAGGTTACAAAACAGATTAAGACCATGGCAGACCATGCCAGACTGAACAAACATTTTCAGCACACGGAGTTAAGAGTTATATTGACGAATCACTGGCACCTCCGTCGTACACAAAGTGCCGAAAGTTAACACCATATGTACCATTCGGTCTCAGGTTGTACATAGTTTTAAAAGACGACTATGAAAGAGCTATGCGGCTTGAAGTCAGTAGGTGCTCGAGAATTAGGCATAGTCCTCAATGCTCCACTACCTTGATTTTCATCAAATAAAAATTTTCACTTTTTCAAAAATACCTTCACTGTCTCTTTGTCCATTGAGTAATTTTTTTTCTTTGAAAATCTCTTCTGAGTAACTGTATCATTTATGCCAGCTCCATATTACTCAGTAACAGACTGCCTAATATGCTTTTACAGCCTTTGAAGATGATTTCGACAATGAAGAGAATTTCTTTCTCTGAGTTGTATTTTCTTTTCTTCATATTTCAGTATAATTCTGACTTGAAACAAATTCGGAGAAGTTATTCAAGTGATAACAAATACCAGTATAATTCTTCTTATGAAAGAGAAGAAAATGCTTCTGTTTTTGTTACAGGGTGGAATCACATAAGTATAAAACTCATCGGGGTTTTCAGGACAACCTATATATACCTCTTTCTAAAGTTATTAATAATTTAAAGATTCAGATATCTATAAACATAAAAAATGGCTGATAGGTATGCGCAACCTTAATGCCTTTTGTCTACTTTATTCGATTATACAAAGGAACCTGCATTTGAAAGAGAATGGACCACCGGTCTCTGTGCCTGTTTAGAAGATCTGCCAACATGTAAGTGTAAATATCATTTCTCACAAAATTTTAGTTTTACGCGTTACTTATTATTAACACATTTTGTTTTCACAGGCTCTTAGCCAGTTTTCCTTGTTTTTCCTATGGTGTGATGTTTTTATCGAAGTAGATTGATCATACTGATGTGAAGAACAGTAAAGGAGATAAATTTTTTCTGTTCACTATATTTTTATTTTTGATTTACAGCTTGATTCCACACTGCATTTTTGGTACAAGTATGGAATTTTCAGCATGGATGTCGGTAGCCCAAATTTTGCAGGCCCACCATAGATAACAGGTGTGCGTCGGCAGGGGATCAAACCTCAGACTATATGCATGGTCGGCGAGAGTCCTAACCCCTATACCACCGACGTAGCATAACCTTGGCATTTAGTTTTACTTAAAACCACACACACGGCTTCATCAGCAATCAAATAATGTCTTGAATGGCAGTAAGTTTTAGTGAGAAAGTTTCAATGGGAAACAATACAGTTGGTTCAGTAAAGAGACTTTTCGGGTGAATTTGGTTTCCTTAGTTCTACACTGATAACTCTACAGCTTTGTAACTTTTTTTCCTAGAAAACAGATAAGTTGTCAAAGGAATAGTTGCTGATGGTAACCAATACATGAATTGAATAATGGTTATGTGATTACGTAATAAGACAAATAATTTAGTGAACAATCTGCAATCAGAATACACATGGAAACGAATGGAATATAATGTTACATAGTAGCCTGAGTTGATAGAAGATTTAGAGAAAGTTTAAAAAATACACATTGGGTGGAATCAACAAGGTCATTGGCCTGGGAACAGAATAGGTTGAAGAATCCTCTTTTGTATTCAAATCTCGTGCTTCTTAAACTAAACGGTTAGCAGTTCACTGTGTAAAGGAGGCGAAACCGGGTGTTCTCCACTTCTTAAGTAGCTCTGAGGTAAGAATGTCTTGAGATAGATTAACCAGCATTCAGTTATTGCACTCTTCATGCAGCCGCTGCTATCTTCCAATAACTGTTAGGGATGGTATTCTTCAACCACTTTAAACAAGATACTTATCGAACGACCAATATACCTGCAACCACAGAGATACGTCAATTGATATATTCAGAAAAAGTTGTCAGATGCTGGATCTTGACTTTGTGACTTTCAAAAATCAAAGTGTATCTGGAGAATACTACTCTTAGCATTACTGAGAAGAAAGTTCACCTTAAAGATGTTGAAGTCCCTCTCTTAATAGCCTTACAGGCCAGTCCACCCTTGAAATAAGGCTCCATGCAGAGTTTCTAGTTTGCAAGAACAATGTCTTATGTCTTTGAATATTTGATTGACTTTTTTGTCAGTAAATCTCGGTGGATATCCATTTTGGATAAATATTTTTTATAAGATATAATTCCTGTAGAGCATGAGGAATGCAGATATGTCGGACGTAAATGCGAAGGGATAGAACTAATTTTCATTCGCACTTAATTGGAACCCAGTCACAGAAACTTGTCATTTGACCGTCCCATGAAAGCTTCGCCGAAATACTAAAAGTATATTATAAATGAATGTGATTAGTTAATTCTGCCAGTATTACTTTATGAATTACTTTATGCACTTATGACTTTCTGGTAGATGATTTCGCTCTTATATTAGCCATCAAAAACTTTTTCCATAAGTATGACTAGCACTTAATGTATATTTACAGATATCATACTGATAAATCCCATTGACTCTTTCTAAATAACATCAACTGGAAGGATGAATTGCTTCACGCTAAATGAAAAAGGAAACTTTAGTTTTCAGTAAACTGAAAAATGGATAGTTAAAAATAAATTTTCTTCCAGTGATATCCTTTAACTATCATTCCACAAAAGGCAGCAAACTTTTATCGACAGCCAGCTCAATACTGAGGATCATATGGCCAGAAAGAATTATCAACAAGAAACTCTGGGAATGAACCAGCCCATAATCTATCGGATAACAAATATTCCAATGAAAACGAGGATGGATCGGACACATGCTTAACAGACAGTTAGGTGACGTTGCGAGTCAGGCCCTTGATTGGAATCCTAATGAGAAATGACTAGTTGGGCGTCCGGTGGTAACATGGAGGAAATTCTATGAGGAGATGACAGTCTATAGGCAATCTTGTAGCCAGATAAAGAGGACTTCAGAGAGCAAAACAAAGTAGATATATGCTGCTGAAGCTTTATGTTCCACTTAGAACACAGGGGAATTGTAATAGTCATTTCACAATGTTAGTCTTCGCATTTTGTAGAAATTACTGTAAAGATCTAGACCCTGAAAGAAGCTATCAGTTCACATGACAATATCTTAAAAAGTCAACGGAATTCACAAGTGTGGGATGTGTAAACTAGTGTGCCTAAATTTTAAACATCTTTATACTACAGTGGAACCACCACAAGCTGTTTTGCTTGTAATCCGGGAGTGATTTATGACTTTCAAAACATCACATATTATTGTTCCAGTAATTTTAATTTTCACAGAAAAATAAAAGGATGCTCTTCAGATTAAGTTACCTAAAGTTATCTTATATCCTTGTTTTACTGTTTAAATATGTTTTACAACATCACTTAACAATAAAACTTATCACTTATTTACTGGATAACAGGAGAAATTTGTTTTTTTAGCAACCATATATTGAACAGACGGAAGTTTAGTCACGTCATTATTATCATTATTTTCCCTTGCGTGTAAAATAGGGGTTCAACAGCGAATCTTCATTTCACTTTGTTTCTGCAGTTTATTTTAGCTGGCTGAGCTATTGGCCACAGGCTTTTATTTTTCCTGATATTATCTCTTCTTTATCACCTTTGCACTCTCAATTCGTCGTTTCCTACTCTTGCTATACTCAACAGCCTGTTGTGAGATGTCACTCAATGACTTCCAGAGCACATATGCACTTCATCCCCTTTTTCTTCTGATTATTTGTTAGGCTATCAGTTGTTGGTAGATTTACTTGCAGAGGTCCTTTCCACTTACTTTTCCTCGCCAGGCATCTAATTTTCAGCATCGAGCCTGAGAAGATAGCTGTTGAAGAAATTCAAGATACTACTAGGAATACTTTTCGTGACGCATAAATCAAGTCACCAAATCATATAGAAGAGCTGATTTGGCACTATAGTTGGCCCAGTGTATTCTTGTATTTTTGCTCCTCATGATCCATTCCATCACAGTCAGAAACGCCATAGGTGATAGTAGACAACACTGTCCCACTCCTGTCTTTACTTCAAACCTCCGGTGAACTTTTTTCTATGGATCACTTGACATGTGGTATCATCGTATATCTTTGAACAAAGGCTTATGGAGTCTTCAGGTTATCCTTGGCGTTAAGTCAGTTTCCAAATTAGTTATAGGACAGCATTTTTTACAGCTGTAATCTAAAGTTCTCAATTAATGTCACGATAATCAAATAAAGTAAATATTTCTACACCTTCACGAAGTAGTCATTAAAGGTTTCTAGGTCGCTTCTAAATGGAAATTAGTGAAAGCATAAGTCTTTCTTTCGTGAAATGCTGATTAAAACATAATTTCTAACTGAAACAAAAGCACTAGGCTTTGGTGATATACTTTCCTCGCTCTTAAGCATATTCAGAGTTAACAGAAAATCCTACGATATTTTAAGTTCATATAACTGAGAAACTGAGTATGAAATTGAACTAAGACGCAAGTAAATGTATTGATTCGTTTTTCTACTGCCTACTCCGTGAACAACAAAACAAGCTTTCGAAAATTAAAAGCTGTGAAAGAAAAAAGGTTGAAATCTTTTTCAATGATTGTTTCTTTTGTTCTATTCTTCTATATTTTATGTATCAAAAATAATATAATTACTGTTTGTATAAAGATGACAATTGAACATAAATGACGAAAACGATTGTTATTTTAATTCTTGAAACTTATGCACAACTTTTCAGGATATATTTTACAACTGATAAGGATTTTATATATGTCCAAACCAAGTTAACTTTTAACGGTGTGAAAAATTTGGGCATTGGGTATATGATATTCATTATGATAAAGGTTTTTTTGTATTTCACAATGAATGAGAAACAAAACAATTCAGTAAAAACAATATCGTTTTGTTTTTCATTCATTGGGAAAGATAAAAACCTTTATCATAATGATAAGGATTTTCTTGAGCATTTTTCTGGAAATCACGTATTACAACATGGGGTTATTTCGTTTCATGGTTAGTTAATTCATCGATGCACATTCTTGGTCCCATAGGGTCCAAACTCGTGGTCTTCAGGATGAGAGTGAAGCAGGTCACTATTCATAAAATGAATCACAGTCCAGTAGCTAACAAATTCGCCAGTTAATTCCAGGGACATTTATTTTTATTAGTTCAACGCACAACATCCTAGATAGTCAACACTTCTTATTCGAAATTTGCAAAGTCTTGACTCTGTGACTAGATTTCGTAGATATTTTATTAGCTTCAAAGGAGGTTTCATCACAATCCAAAATTATTCACAGGACGAATGAAATTTAAACTGCTGAGAAAGGTTTACCCTTGATGTAAAGCCCAAACTAGGGTAAAATTTCTACGCAGAACACCAAAGTCTTCACTGGTACTGTAAATGATACTTGCTCAAATCAGAGTTAAAATAATATTTGAATATGAGTCTTTAAACATGAACTTATGAAGTGAACTACTTCTAATTGGTAATGAGCAGTATATTAAACAAATCATATATAATAGACTTTAACTGCCTGCGGTAAAAATAAAAAGCCACCACTATTCACCTTTTCTTTACATTGACGGTTCAAGGGAAGGTAGGAGTTTAGTTCCTAGCTTATTCACTTCATTAACTTCCCCGGGAGTAGTAAGCATTGAAGTGAGGGAAGGTTGGGGGTACACCATAAAAATAATATCACCTCTACTAAAACCTGAGAGATTAGAGCCTTTTCTTCCACTCGAAACGGAAAAGATAAAAAAATTCAGCTCTTCTTGTATATCTAATATGCGATTTTATTTCAAAAAAGAAATGTATCAGATGAGCATACCTTTGAATGGCACTCGTTTACAAATTTTAAAACATCGGACTTAAATTGTGTTCAAATATTAGGTACTGCACAAAAAACCTAATGTTAATTAATATTATTAATAAAATTCTGTCAGTTATTTGCATTCAACTTAATTCTGTTTTCTCTCTTTCTTTTCAATATATTAGGCTGTTTAGTTTTATTTTGTCCACACTGCTATATGTGCTATATATACAGAAAAGAAGGTGAATCATGCTTGCTTCCAATATTCGGTGCCGGGATTTTGCCGTTACGTATCAAGCATCGTATTATGCATCGAATAATGGTAAAATTTATGAGTAAAATTTATCTTTGATACGGCTCGTATTTCATACTTTTATTTACATTTATAAGTGTTTTGTCAGTAAAATGAGATCAGGATCCGTTTAGGTCTTTGTACAACTAAAACGTTTATTTAAACGATAATCTGCCAACCAGTGAATCACTGTCACTCTTCAAAAATAAGACAGTCTCAGACATTTTAGGAAGCAGTATTAGGTTCTTTACTTATCCTATTTCATAAATTATTCCAACTAAAGACTGAAAAAATCGCGAAGTGTGTGTATTTTTCTACGATAGTTGTTTACTAGTAAAACTTTCCCTTTCAGTTATCCTACAATTAACTGACATTTCACAAACCTAAACCAAGGCAAATTGTTTTCCAGCTAACTGCTCACAAAAACTTTGTTTTACAACAAAAATACTTACTTTTGAACTGAAATCTGACTATTTTTTTAAGAGAATTATGACTTTGCCACAAAAATATTTTATTATTGGCCTTCTCTACGGAAAGAAACTGAACACAATTCTTTCTCCAAACACCGTAAAAAGAATAAAAGTTAACTAAACTATCTTTACTTTTTTGTTGCAGATTTCTTACCAAAAATAAAACAGTGTATATAATTTGCTGTTCACTAAAAAGATGCATTGTTTCCTAGCTAGATAGCCTCGATAGCACAGTGGTCAGGACTCTCGTCGACCATGCATATGGTCCAAAGTTCGATCCCCCGCCGACGAACACCTGATATCTGTGGTCGGCCTGCAAAATTTAGGCTACCGATATCACACAAGAAAATTCCATACTTGTACTAAAAATACAGTGTGGAATCAAGCTGTAAATCAAAAAGAAAGAAAGCAGGATCATCTCGATCGCATGCGTGTGCATAAATGATCTAGTAATGCCTGAGATGAAAGTATATCCATTATTTCCAGTTCATCATGAGACTTAAATATCTGTGTAGATGCCAATTATTGCCTTCCGCTAAAAAATGTTTAAGAAACAATCCCTGTATCAGAGAGAATAGCATCAAGTAAAACAAAACAGAAATTGGCTTCTAAATGAGTCGACTAGTGAATATCTCTGTTGTGACTACCCTAACCTAGTAGTTTTCAGTTGGTCTGTCATTCGTTTACAGCCATTCCACATAATTAATATATTACAATATTTTAGATCACAAAGAAAATTTATTTTTGAATAGGCAGACAGACAAATAGTTGGATGAATGTTTGATGTTAGATGAAAACAGCCAAGTTGGGTATAAATATTCTCGAACAACAATTTCATCTATAAGATGAATACACGAACAATAATAAATAATTTAAATGACTCAGTTAAAAACTATTATGATACATTTGATAGCATAAATTTCAGAACCCTAGATTACCCAAATCTGCAATAAAATAAATAATACCAAGTCAACTAATCGTCTATTAATAAAATCATACTGCATCATTATCATAAATAAACAATGTACTCTTCTGTAAGGATATCATAGCAGCAAACAGTGAAAAAGAAGAAACTTTTCTCGTATCTCGTCAGCTAAGCCTGCTTCTATGTCCATGTCTTCACTGGGACATCTCATCAAATGTAACAGCGTCACCTACTAGACAAATTAGTGTGAATTTTACTTAACGCATACCGTAAAACGGTGAGGTGCGTTTCGATCCAGTTGGCCTGTTCTAAATAATACGGAAACCTCATCTTTTATCTAACACTTTGTATCTAGTAAAACTGCACCTGGAATCAGTCTGAATAAGACATCGAAACATCCAGGAAGGGAGTTTAAAGGCTAACAGAGTTTATCATAGTCTGGTAATATGCAAGATTCAGTGGCAACTTACGATTATCTTCCAAAATTATGGAAATTTTCAATAATTTCCCGCACAGATGATTTTCAAAATCCTCTGCATAGTCAACTGTATTTGACTGTATTTGAATATAGATTAATGTTATTTATCTAACCCTTATTCCTTACACTTTACAAATCTCTATTTTCTATTTTCTTTTAGGGAACTTTGTTGAATGACTTCTGTATTTCATGCTTTTGTGCACCATTAGTTGTTTGTCAACTAAAACGTGATTTAGACAACGTCAGATCAAACAGAATCGATGTTTAAATTGAAGACAACATAAAAGTTCAAAAGTCTCAACTACTTTTTGCAAACTTCAACTAAGATTTGTGTTTTCAACAAACTTTGAATTTTATCATTCCTAAAAGTAACTCCTTTTTTGTTTTCTTTATTTCAAAAAATAAACAACAACAAAAATTATTTCTCCATTTTAACCTTTTTATTAATTAAAATATGTAAGTTGAACTAATTATTACCGACTCCTTGGTTACTTTAAAATTAAATATTTATGTTATATCACATTTTTTCTACTGAGTTTTAAGAAGTTATTACAAAAAAACTTATTTTTCATTAATAGAATAATAGTGGTTCATAAATAATTTGTGCCTTGTTTTCTTATGAAGAATAACGCACCTGATAAGAATTGAAGTTTTCTTGCACAAAAAAGGTCACCACTAATGAACATCACATTTTCTAACAACGTATGAGGCGATTTATCCGTTAGTTTTGATATTTTATGGTGCTTGTATATTAATTCACTCTTACTGTGGTGAAGCTTATGATGAACAGCTTGGCATCAATCCTTGGTAGGGTCTTGGTAGGGTGTAATGCTGAAGAGCCTCAAACTAGGATAAAACGACTTTGCAGCACTCTCCAGTTTTCAGTCGTTCTCTAAATGATATCAGTCCATAATCAAACTTAAAGTCCAAGTAGCATTTCATAAAACTGAAGCATTCATTCTGATCATAGGTAATTTATTGTCAAATACAATTCATTTATTTAACAAGTATTCTATATACCGAGGAATTAAATTCAACCTGATAAATCTTAAATGCATCATGGTTTTAAGAAAAATGGCATTGAGTAAATGAAGTGGTATCGTTTTATTGGAGATAAAGTCCTGGTCATTTTGCGTGTATTCTAACTATTCTCCATTCGTCAGTTCCTTTGTATGCCTTCTGCAATGTTTGTTCCTGATATTTTTGTGACAGAGAGGTCTCTTTAAGACTAGAATATCGCTTTACAGTCTTCCAACAGATTTTGAATTTTATACATGCGCCTATTTCTATAGTAGGTGTTTTACCAAGCATACTACTATTTGTTAGTACCAACTTGCTTTTTTGAGAAAAACTGATATTGGCAATTTCATCTTTGAAAATTTAGTTATGCTGAATCATCTGATTTGACATAGAAACTTACATTACGACGAAGACCTTAGTAATAGCTTCGTCAGATATGATAACCAAGCAAACACTTTATTCGCCTGATTTAAAACACTTTCAAACTGAGATAAGAAAACTTAGCCGACCACTTGACGACTGCGGTGATTAATGTACATATTCGTATTATTCATTCACATAGTATGATAAAATCGTCAGTAGTTTAAGTAAAACTAAGATAATTAACAACACTAGGTACCTAGAAATCGATACTGTTGGGATTCATTCATTTTCATTCCAATTTACTCATAATCTTCTTTCAAAACTATTCAAGTCACTGAGGATAAGCCTTGTGGAAAATACTCTTGTGAGCTAGATAACAAAAGCGAAAATAAATAAACATTCTTATTTGCCTGTTAATCGGTTATTATCTCTTGAAGCTATAAGACTCAGTCTTAAAAGTGACATATCTTTGATTACTAGTGCTGAAATTACTATTTGTAAACAGTAAAATAAGCAGAAATACGATTAAGTTTTGAAAAACACTACATTTTTAAAACTTTTCAAAGTGTATATTACCAGAAATCATATTTTCATTCAGAACATAATTAGATAAATCAGTTGAAGCTAAGCAACGAATAACTCTGGATAAAATAAGTCAGTTGGTACTAAAGAATTACTCCACATCATCAGAGGAAAACCGGCTTAAACGTGACGGCTGATACATCAGAGAAATTCAAGTATTTATTTCAGTAATTAGCAGTGACTCATTCTCACAATTTAGATGAACGTTATACGTTCACACCGCTTATGTCAAATGAAGACACTTCCTAACATGACAGTTCAAACTCAAAATTAGTTCCTGTTTATTTTTATTGTATATCACAAATTGTGTATACAATATAAAAAGCCACATAACTACAGAAAATGCCTAGCCAGAAAATTATGTGAAGATAACTAAACCACAACTGCAAGCAATCATCTCCATGAATGGAAGAGATGTAAAGAAAATCTTCTCTTTCACTTCCCTGACTTGGAAGCATTGTCTCAACTACAGATGGCACGGATGAGGATGTCAAAGCCAGGATCAGGAAATTAAGACAAGTGTTCATTACCCTGAAATTGGTGTGGAAATTTACTTCACCCAAAATAAGGCACAAGACCAAAACTCTTAATACTAATGGCAAGTCAGTATGTATGGTCCAGAAATTGTGTGCGCATCACTACAAGCTCTTCCAGTAGTCTGAAAACTTTGATCAACACCTGCCTTCAATTCATACTTCAGATGAGATGTCCAGAAACTATAAGCAGCAAAGAATTCCAGTAACAAACTAACTAATAACCTTTCACCCAGTAAAAATGCAGAGGGGAATGGAGACATATATATTTATATATATATATGTATGTAATCCGCCATCGTAAGACGAAGTGAAAATGTCTTAAAAGATTAACAAATTCGTGTTTTGTTAATACAGTGACTTAGATACTTACATAGTAGTATCTTCATAATGGCCGTAAAATGTTTCAAGTAAAGTCCTCTTTACTCCTACGAACCTTTAACTTGACAAGTTATGATACTTTTAGGAACTAAAAATGATGTCTTCAGCTGCAGTATAAACATCTCAGATATTTAGTAACAGAACTATTTATTCATACCTACACAGAATCCTTGGTAGAAAGAAGTATCGGTAGATTATTAAGTTGGTAATAGAGTGAGTGACTCAGTATTGCAGTGGCTAACCTCAAATAAGTGTAAACCATCAGACTAACCATTCCATTAACTTTGAATAATCTGCTACAGTCTTCTCTCGACAGTATTTAACAGGCGAAAATTAAAAGTTCGGATTTATCTGAACTCATTGAAAAATCTGAAGAAATAAATTTATTATTCAGATACACCACTCAAAACTTTCAGAATGAGTTTTACAAATTTTCAAACTATGAATCATATTATAAGTACAAATTTGCTCTTATAAATCTTTAAGGAAGTGTAGAGTTATAGTTTTAGAAAAAATGAACCCATTTAACATATCCAGTGATTCGTTTCACTGTGAAGAACGTTAATTTTACATCCCTACACAGTTCATAGTTGCTTAAACAAAACCGTTACTGTAAAAATTGCTGTTCAATCAGAGTAGTCATAAAATGAGATTCTGCTCTTATTTGCTTGATTATATATTGCCTTAAGTTACACTTTTTGAATAGTCTCTTCATTACATGCACAAAAGGGAAGAGTTGGTCACCCAAATTTACGAAGATGTTCCACTAAACAAATCATCTATAACGCGTAACATAATCATATTCCTCCAAGTAGATCTTAACTTAGAGTTATATAGTAGAATAAGATTTGATTACTAAATACGTCATACTCTCTCTCTCTCTCTCTCTCTCTCTATATATATATATATATATATATATATATATATATACCAATAACACCACTGCTACCTCCATCTACTTTGATAAGATTTAGTGAAATAACTGGATGTCCAATGCATTTTAATTAGTGGATAATAAAATATCAGTTGTGTAGCCTGAATAGTAAGTATAAGCTTCAAAAATGCCTTATAAAAGCTTTAAAAAGCATTAATCGGCTGACGGACAACCCCGAAGTGTAGCTACATAACTACTGAAGATTCAGTGGGTGAAATAGAATAGTCAGACAGAACCAAACATTTCTGTGGTTTCAACTCTCTAAGGAATAAATATCGTTATTTATCGTTATTTAAATAGAAATGGAAATCTGTTATTTTAGAAACTGTACGTTTACACAACTGCTCATTATGCGCATAATAAAATAGTGAAAAGAATGCAGTTTATAATGTCTAATAGTTTATTTGACTTAGGATAAAATAAAAAACCGATCACATTAAATATCTTCACCAAGTGATTTTATGTAGTCCATATCTTTCTTCAGTTGACACGTTGTACAACAGGAACAAAATGTTGAAACACACCAGTCATTCAGTAATGTGCCCTATAAATGCAAAACACAGAGAGAAATAATAATTAACAGTAAGCCTAAATGCGTCTAAATAAGAAAAATAAACTTGAACTTTTTAGTGAATGATTATCGAGAAGTGACTTTTTCTACCAATAACCACTAATAAATAATTTTTTACACTACATAGCAGTGGGCATAATAACTGGACATTTTTCAAAATATCATCTCATATTTTGTAAGTTTCACTATATATCTTCAGATAAACATCCAGGTAGATACTATTCACACACGCAGTCACACACTCAGATATGTAAAACAGAGGCCTTCAAGCTTTTTTGTGAAGTTTCAGTGGTAGCGTTCTTTCTACGGGGTGAAGTTACCAGTTTCACTCCTATGTTTTCCTCTTTTTCAAGCTTACCACCGGCTGGACAAGGTTTAGAAATGCATCAGTCGGGAATCAAACTCGGAATTCTGACACATCTGGAGAGCGTTATGTCATTCAGCCACTGATATTCAGGATTTAGACACCTGTCATATTTTTTTCCATTAAGTAATATGCACAAAATAAATGAACACTATAGCGGAATTTCAGGAAATGAAACAATATCAACAGCACCAACTTATATATACAGTTGAAGTTTTTCAGGTTTACTATCATAAGACTTCCTACTTAATGACGCTTCTCAGCATCACAGATAGTTATAAAACTAAAGACAGTAAATTCAATAACATTACACTAGATGCGTCTGGAAACCAACTGAAGATTCGTTGGAAGTAAAATCTGCACTTATTTGAAAGAAGTGATAAATTAAATGACTAAATCTATGAAGCGTATTAATAGATTATACCTCTGTAAATTTCTGTGTACTTTAATAAAACTCCGGCTTTAGTTTCCATATAAAGCCCACACTTACTTTAATACTATGTCTGAAACGATGTTTTATACGTAGATACATCGGACCTGCCCCAAAAACTGGCAACCAAAACGATTCGTTTGACAGTTTGTACATGTAACATAGATAACATGGAAAACAAAATGCCACTAACCAACCTGAAAGAAAAGTGGAAACGGTGATAAAAGCAGCATATCTAGTGAGAACAGTATGAGGAGATTTATTTACAGTGCATATATATATTACTATTTTTTAACAGTAGTCACCCAACCATAATGGTAAATAGTTATGTTCACCGGAATCCAAAAAGACAAAAACATAATTTTCCACAAAATCTTCGTGATAGTAACAACTTTAGATTATTTCATATGTCTAAAATTATAGTAAAACTGTTAAAATTCAATTTCTAAGATCGATATCTACGATAATATCCACTAATCCCTACAAGAAAAATGTGACACATAACTGACAAAATGATAACCTGCATACTTTTAAAATAGAGTTGGAATTTACTAAAGAAGCATATAGTCAAAATGAATAAAAGACGCAAATAGAAAAGTGCACTAGTGGTGTATTCAATTTTCAAATTTTAGTTGGAAAGAGAGGGAAAATAAGTCCGTTTTATTTAAGTCAGGAAGAAAATTGACAATTTCGACAGAGAAAGAAAGACCAAATTTGCAGTATAAAATGATATCATTCTATTTTATAGGTTCTCATCAGCTGCAAACTGCCTGAAGTTACTATGGCTATAAAAAATGGCATTTGGTACTTCAATGTTTGGATTAAATAAAACTAAGAAGTACTTATAAGTGTAACAGTATGCAAGTTTATACTCGAAGTAAGTATAAAACTTGGGCACTGTGGTAGAGTACAACTCCATTATAGATAAGATTTTATTTTGATAAATCACACAGTGTTGTACAGTTATATGAAGTGAATCAAGTTTATACTCATTTTCAAGTTTTCCCTTTTGCTATTTGCATTCCTTCCTAAAAAACAGCGACACTGATTGCTTAGTAAAATAATCAGAATATCTACCGAAAACAAATCTGCCTCTGGAACAGCACATGTAATCAAAGGCGATCTGGGTTAGTGCCTCTATCTCTGGTTGTCTGTTCCCCGAATACTGTAGAGTACTATTCAATACGTTTACTGATGATATAGTGAAATTTCTGGGTAAATTTTATTGCTTCTATTATTAATCTATACTCAAAATATCCTAGTAGTATGAATGTCTTTTGTTATGTCCAAAAGTAACATTTGAACAGAAGTATAGCAGACATTGGTGCAGAATAATACAGATTTATTTTATTTGCCTGGTTCTCTTCACCTAAGCACAACCAATAATATTCCCGTGTAAGTGTGGGAGCATTCACATTGGGTGAACAGAGAGAAGGGACTACGTCAGATTCTTTGAATATGTATCAAAGAGACTTCAATTAAAGGGACATAACAGTTTTAACTCGCCAATTACCAAACATCCGATAGGCAGGGGAAGCGGAGTTGACACACTGGAAGCATTCGAAATAATTAACAGATAAAATTCTCCAAGTCCTCTACAGTTTCATTATGGATAACATTTATTTTGATAAAGTCTAACAGTGTTATACAAATTTGATGGAGTTGTGTTCTCTGAGCCAGATGCTTTATTTGCCAGGTTTTGACTGCCCTACTAGGCAACATCTTCAATATATATACTTCAATTTGAATCATAATCTTGATGTGATTATGAACAACAAATTGTGCTAGAAACGTCATCAGTAAATATTATTCTATAACATCGTAAATAAATTTTATATATAGTGGAATTATACCCTATCACAGTCCCCGAGTTTTATTCTTATATCTTCTTCGGTTAGCTGAATCTATCACAGTAAAACGAATGAAATCTTACCGATGTGTTCAAAAGGAATCCATCATGCGACTCTGTTCTCGGTAAATCTTTGTCTTTGACTTCAAGTCTGAACACTAATTGATAACAGTCAGAGAACCGCTGAGAACCAGGGAGTACTGGACAGCTGTTTCGTCCTAGTTTGGGATTCATCGATAGTGCGCAACCATAGGGTTTCTTTTGATTTGATCATTTTGTTTCAGACTTCCAAACATTTTTCGTCTGACTTTCATATTAGAATTTATATTTGATCCTTCGAATTCTACTCACTGTATTGGATCATTCTTTCTTTCGACTTCGTAAACGCCAAATTTTGATTTTCCGGTCTTATCATTTTACTTTATTTCCTATGACTACCTAATTATCAGTAACTTATCATCACCCTGAGAAAAATGATTGTTCAGCTTTTACCAGAAGTTCTGCTTCCATAAAATATATATATATATATATACTAACAATTTTCAGATACACTGATTATTCTTATGTGCTATTTCACTATGATATTTTTACAACAATCCTTACAGGAGGAATGATTCGTGATGATAATTAAAGTGTATGTTAAAATTGTACTGTAGCTGTTTTTTCTTAAATACTATAGGCTGCACATAGATGAAGAGAACCAATGAAATCAAATGGATCCATATTATTCTGCACCAGTGTTTGTTCTCTCTCTGTTCAAAATGATGAAGGCGAATCCGTGTATGAAAGTGTTGCAAAAAAATCTTCAACTTATCACCTTAAAAAAAACAACAGATTTTATCATAAGACGACATGTGTGATCTTGTTTATATAAATGAAACAAGCTGTGAAATTAATTCATCAGTCTTCTCCTTTCTTCACAGGACTTTAAAACAGTCGGCACCATTCATTAGATACCACACTACTTTTTAAAATGTTGTACTTTTCTGTTGCAAGTAGTAATTCTGATTTAAAAAATTTAAAGGATTCAGACTCTGACAAAACCACACTTAATAATACGTATATCATATATATTCACTAGTAGCGCTCAAATCCTACTCTTGCACTAAAAGGTTTTACATCTCAAATATTTTTGGAATGCTTAAGACAATAATTAATCACATGAGGTTGTTACTCATTGGTCTAGAAATAGTGAACTTATAATTCGTTTTATCTAATCAGTTTTTGTTATGTACTCGTCGCTAAATTATTGTTATGGACTGGTCGAGAAACTAATAGTCCTGACGCAAGAAGGCGGAAATCAGAAGACCACTAGGTTTGCGATGATACTTCTATTTTCCAAACACAAGGAGAAGCAATAAGTGGTATCACACCAAGTAAGTTAAGGTAAGTCACACAAATTGTGAGAGCGAAAGTATATATATAGCAAAATATAGCAGACATGTCAACAACCACCATATATGGATATATGTCACCAAGCAACGGACTGTCAACAAACACTCATATTATATAGAATATAAGGGGAATATACATTGTTAAAGGAGACAGGTTCACACAAGTGAAATGGTCACAGACTAAGCGAGCAAACAGAAAGAGAGACCAACATATATATATATATATATATATATATATATATATATAAATGGATACATATCAGTTTTGAACCACGAGCAATTCAAACCTACGTACTTGGATCCTCAATTGAATTAAAATGACTGAATTTTTGTGTATTCTATCTCATTATATAAAGATTCACAGAAACTTTATTTTTGAAAGTTCTAACTAAATTATACCAAAAAACATGCCCATGCCTTGTCCAAACTACACTAATTATGTCCAGTTTTCTGCATTTCAAAGTGTTTCCTGTATGCCTATCCCAAAATGTAAACTACATATTATTCTCCAGGGTTAAAACTGACTATTATTCTCTAATGTTAACTACAACTTATATATATATATATATATATATATATATATATATATATATATATATATATATATATATATAGAGAGAGAGAGAGAGAGAGAGAGAGTTAAAACAATCAGACATATCCCAATAACTGAATTGTTTGGAATATTCAATGTATGCGGATCACTTAACTTCTCAAAAGTGGTAGGCTGGAACAAACCGCATTTGTCGGTTAGTCCATGACTGAAGGAAAATCTTTGATTTGTGTATCAATTAATAATATGTCTGCACATTATATCTATCGTTTCAACTACAGGCGGAACTGACGAGGATATCAAAGCCAGGATCGGAAAAGCAAGACATGCTTTCATTACTCTTAAGTCTGTGTGGAAGTCAACAGCACTCAGCATTAAAAATAAGACCCGGATTTTCAACTCCAATGTGAAGTCAGTGATACTTACGATACGGATCAGAGACTTGGCGCGTCTAAAGAGCACCTCAAACAAACTACAGACATTCATTAACAGTTTTCTTCACTCAATACCACTCAAGATCAGATTGCTGGCCAGAAAAGATCAGCAACAGAGATCTCTGGCAATGAGCGAACCAACCAGGAACCGACTGTGAAACAAATAGGCAGGAAGAAATGGAGATGGATTGGCCATACCCTGAGGAAACCATCAAGTGACATCTCTAGACAAGCCAGTGCTCGAGTGGAACCCGAAAAGGAAACGGCGAGTTGGTCGTCAGTTCAAGGGTGACTTGGAGGGTGTCATGTGAGGAGGAGATGAAAACATGTTGGCAGACTTGGAGCGGAGTGAAAAAGTTGGCAGAAAACAGAAGGCAAGGGAGACGCGCAGCTGAAGCCCTATGTTCCTCCAGGAATTAAAGAATTTAATAATAATAATATACATTATATCTATCAACTAACCAAGACTTACATAGTGAACAGTTGTCTGTGCATTGAAATAAACCGTTTGTCCAGTCACGACCCTCCTGTTTAGTTGTCTATACAATTAAGACAAAAGTAAAATATTTCATTCAGTGAGACACCACTAATTACATATATATATATATATATATAATTTGACCTTAGGAAGTATTTTAAGACCATGACTGCGATTATTGCCAGTAGACTTTAATGAACCTCATCTAATAGAATACCATGAATAGCACGTAGGAAAGTACATAAAATACAGAATGGAGAAATTAAAACAGTGGTAAAACAGTTTATGGAAGTCTGGTTTCATGCTATAAGACTGACACTTAGCAAAATTTTTTTTTAATTTACAGCTTGATTCCACACTGTATTTTTGGTACCACTATGGAATATTCAGCATGGAAATCGGTGGCCCAAATTTTACAGGCCGACCATAGATATCAGGTGTGCGTCGGCGCGGGCTCGAACCCCGGACCATGTGAATGGCCAGCAAGGAGGTGAATTCTAAATACTGAAGAAAACCACACTACATAACCAGAAAGAAAATAGTATATTGGTTGGACTGTAATATTTGGATCTCATCAGAAGTGTAAATTTATCCTAACCAAGTGTAACATCAAATCCAACCAAAACACAGAAATTTATTTACCGAGTTAAACTATTCACTGAATGAAGTATCCATCAATTTAATTGATAAAATAATAAAAAATTTAAATAAAATCGTTTTATTTTTTATTTGCGTTGGTGATTCAGTGGCCGAATGCCCGCTAACCATGCGTCCGAAATTCGATTCCGCGTCGGCGCACGCCTCTACCTCCCCTAGCCCGTCGTAAGCCCGATAAAGATTGGGAAGGCTGGGCGGGCGGCTAGCAACCCCATCCCGTCAAAACATCACTGCTTCAGAAACTTCAACCCAGATCGAATTTGAAGCCCTATGTTCCACTGACAACACAAAAGAATAAAATAAGTAATATAATTTCTTCTTGGCAAAATTTTTCTTTACGAAGAAGAATAACATGAATGCTAATCGCATTAATCCCCACTGATGAGATGAAGATCGACATTATTCCTCACTTAATTAAGTCATTTAACTAAGCAGAGACACTTTAATGAATTCCATTTTAATTTGTTTATTAGATATATCACACAGTGAAACAGTTTTATTTACTGGATGACGTTTCGAACACAATTTATCACTGTTCATGATCATTTCAGCAGTTATAATCACACAACCTTGAAACTTGAGCCTTATAGTTTTCTTTATTCTTTCCCGTTTGTCGTAGGTTTAGTAAAATTTTCCATATTATTAATTTTATTTTCACATTTTCCTACATACTTCGTGATTGATTTATCAGTGTAATTATCAAATTTCGTATTTCGGATCATCCCACCCTGTGTCAGTGAAAATAGGATTGTTGAAACGTTTATGTGATAGGACACAAAAGCTAAGTAGTACCAAGGGAAGTCTAAGACAGGAAGTGACACATGCAAGAGAAGCTTTGAAACTTAATAATTACCCGGGAAGTAGGTAGGAAAATGTGAAAAAACGGGAAAGAATAAAGAAAACTATAAGGCTCAAGTTTCAAGGTTGTGTGATTATAACTGCTGAAATGATCATGAACAGTAATAAATTGTGTTCGAAACGTCATCCAGTAAATAAAACTGTTTCACTGTGTGATATATCTAATAGACAAATTATTACTAAGTTACGTACTACCACAGGGTCCAGGTTTTACACATATATTAACGCTTTAATGAATTTCCGTTGATTTTACACGACTTAGATGTCATCTAAACTGGGCTGAAAGATGACAGAGGATCCAATCATACCTTCTGAAGTATTTTATTCAATTAATTATTCAGTATACACATCTATACTGGCTTGCCTAGTCGATACAGGATATGAAGTTGACACTAACAATTCATAAGTTATTTATCTAATTTCACCCAACATTTCGCATGCATTACGAGTGAGGCGCTTAAATACATCAGAGGCAATAGAAATTGGTCGGAACAACCCAAATATGTACGTTAAAAACTTCATGTGGCCCCTATCTTCGCGATGGCCGTTCATACAATAAATATAGTCTTACAAATGCTTTTCCTCTATCCTTGGAACTATAATTTGACATTGTTATTTCATTGCGATTAATATTTCAGCCAATTCAGTTAACTTATTTGTGTCTTGATACTCTTACACAATTCAATCATCTATTCTTCTTACCATTATTTTACAAATTACTGATAACACAAAACCCATTTGCTAAACTCTACAGGTTAAATGACCCTGATTTCCATAGTTATTTTCACCCTTCTGACAACTCAAAATTTACACTTGTTGTTGACTAACACTCTGCTGCTAACTCTGAATAATAAATTGACGTGACTTTTGTGATCGGTTATTTCCATCCCTCCTATACTTTAAAGCTGATAATTCTTATTGACTAACATCATCACATAATCGACACCACTTTGACGTAAAGCTGGGTAGATTTGTGTAAAACACTTAGCAGGAAAGTAACTGAGAAGCAATACATTTCTTTGCTCAATTTGCTGTTTTCAATACGTATTCAATTTTATCATACTTTAGCAACAACTGGCAGCTTTTAAATTATCATGTCTTATCTTGTCTTGCCTTGCCTTAACACTGTTTATTAACAGCATTAAGTAATAAGGGATTTCCTATCATTTATGGCTTCACAGTTAAAGTTCAAAAAGAATGTTTGAATCTTTTGTAAATACTGTCTTTTATCCTATTGACTGTGAAACTTTTCAGGACTGTATGATACCTTTCTACGAATTTCCTCCATTTCATCATATTTTATCTACCTATTCATAGGTCGACAATTAGATTAAAATTCTGTCAATGTCATTTACTGATAATTGGGTTAGTTTAGTCCTGAACAAATGAATCATACCTCATAGCTTAAATCTTGAGAAAGTCAGAATACTGATATGCCATTTATCTTTTTATTTTATTGTATTCTGTACCACTGTCGCCATAAAACAAGGAATACAAACACACTGGATTTCTGATGTATGACGGGACACGATCATTGTTTGTTTCTATTATGACAAAAAGAACCTGTCAAATGAGGAATATTTGCATTCATCATATCTTTTTGCCTGATTTTTAAACTCTTATAGATGAAATGAAATCACGCGAAATGCTTCTGATTTTACTCAGTCAATAATGTAATTGCCTACTTTGGATGAATGTCATCCCCGTAGTATCAACAAGTGTCTCTACCTTACCCCTAGCCTCTTTTCATTCAATACATAGACCTTCTGATCCGCTTCTTGTATAACCAATGGCCAAACTTTCAAACTGGTGATATTCAGTTGCTGATAATCAAAAGCTAGAGGATTTTCCTTTAAGAGCAACACTCCTAGTCTTCGACTACAATTGTTCCTAAATCCTGTTCTATTAAAGTGAATTTTCTCAGGTAAAGTCAAAAGAACCCAAATACTTCAGTAGCACTTCCACAGTGAACAGGGATTAAACAAAGAACCACTTAATAATAAGAAATTCTGGAAAACTACTTGGTAGTACTGTAAGACTCTTAGACAATAAGCACAAGCGACACCACGCAGAATCAAGCTGAGCAGCATGATGACTATTGGGGAGCATATTGCCATACGGACATTAGTTGGAAATCTACTATCTCATAACCTTTTGCTTTTGTGGATTACCTTCATGAAGTTGTGATGAGCCCACATCACCAATGAATATGTCTGCCAGTACCCAAATGATTTCTACTGGATTCGAAAACTACTACGAGACCAATCAAGTCTGCACACAGTCTCCGATTAAATGCTTCTAAGGTCCATGTTTAAACTTCACTATTCAATATTTTTTCAGATAATTGGAACACAACATTCCTCATTAGATGTAAAATTACTTTAAGCTTCAAATTCTTTAGATAATGTCAATACTGTTTAACTACTATTCCGAAACCGATCAGATATCATGCTTTTATTATTGCAATAAACGTAGACCATTAATAAACATAATGGTTTATACTGCCTCCTCTTCTTTTACTTAACAAGTAACTAACATCTTTTGAAATCACTAATGTTATTTCAGAATGTGCAAAGCATATTTTAAAAGTGTATAAAATTTGCCCATTTTTGTGATATTTCACCACCTAGTCCAATGAATTATTTTCAAGTATTGATTTTTTAGGGATTTAGTTTGATTGAATGGAGGATTTCATCATGGGCTGACATCAGTTAGAGAGAATTCATGGGCCATTGGATTGGGTCCCAGTAGCTCAATGGTCTACGAGCTTGCCCTGTAACCAGAAGATCCTGGGTTCGAACTCCGTGGATTCGTACTGCTGAGGAGTCCTAAACTAGGACGAAACAGCTGTCCAGTACTCCCAGGTTTTCCAGTGGTTCTCTAACTGATGTCAGCTCATGATGAAATCCTCCATCCAATCAATGAACTATTACCAACATTCGAAGCAAGCACGAAACCCTGTCCCCCACTTCAAAGTTCATCGATGATTTTTCACATGAATTAACATCCTTACAACTGCAAACATTTACCGATGCCTCATAGATCCAGATAATAAGTAAAATAATTAGCTTTTACATAAGTGTCCAGTATGAAAATAAAACTTCATTATTCAACTAAAATAATAAAGTACAGCTGAAACAGTCATTTAAAAGGATGCATTACGTGTAGCACCTCATAATAAACAATAAGCGTCTGTATGAGTGTCGGTTTACTATAGAAATAAAAAATAAAAGTCAACCCCACCATCGTTCTCGACCTTCGCGTGAGCTGGCAGTCACGTTGCCAATGAGTTCTAACAACTTTACGATTGTGAACATACCTAAGGTTTGATTAGTGAGGGTGTTTTGCAAGATTCTGAAGAACAGATTCAGAATTATCATCAGTACTTGCATAACACTGATTCAGGGAGTTTTCATGGTAACTTGCTCATTTTAATATGAGAACGAGTTAGCCTGATAGACACTGAACTATTATAGTTTATGCTACCATATTAGTAAATACTGAGTAGAATAAATAACTGTCTTGAAGACAACATCGCCAAATCAA